AGTATTTATGGAGCCTCATCTGAACTCTCGATGAAATGAAAGCACCGTCAACTGCGTCTCAGGTTTGCACAATCGTCTCGAATTCTACCAAATTCCCTGAGTTAAGAAAAATGAATCAATGTCTAATCGCTCTAATGCTGTGTAACAGCTTATATAACTTAAGAATTCCCTGTGTGGCCCCGAGAGATGCTCGCAGCCTTCTCGTGCGTTTTAGAAGAAACTTTTGCATGATTTTGTACAAGGCATATGAAAAGACGATCCGCATTTTAACGTTGATTAAAAATGATTTAAGGCGAAATTCAAAGAGAAAGTTTTAAAATGTTGCATTATGGGGAAGACACGGACAAGTCGCAGTGAAAGTTCACCTCGTTTGTTATGGAAATTTTCCGGATAATCTTTGCCCTCGAGATACAGTTTTGTTACTGAAACAAGTCGTACAAATCTAATTGGTTTGCAAATGTGCAATGACCGCAGAATTAGAAAAGGTGTCAGCGTCTTTCTGACTAAGGTCATAAATTGAAGTTTTTGCCAGCCTGGAGTGTTTTTAGTTACGGAAATATTAATTTAAAGTCGTATACTTAATTATACAAACCCAACATGATTTCACTTTCAAATAGAAACATTGTATAACTTGAATTAAAAACCAACAATTAAACCCATCTTTTTTTAGTTATTTTGATTTATGGACAGTAAGATCCGCTGGGAGGCTTTAGTTTACTCAATATTCCCTAGGAATCACTTGTTTTTTCCGATGTTACATAAAAACAGTATGAAAATTCCATTTTCGTTGACTTCTAGTTTTCGTGTTGCTAGCTGTTACTGAATTGAATAGGGAGGATAAAAACTTCCAAATTCTCAGCTTGATATTGGTTTTTGGCGCCGACGATTGAAACTGGAAAAGCTGTCAATGATTAGTTGAGCGCTGATTCAATTTTTGCTGGAGCAGCTGTTTTCCAATCATTTGACCAGACTACTGTAAGGTTTTCTTTATGAATTGCAGAATGTCATTATTATTTTTCTCATATTGAAGGTGGTCTGAAGGTTTATAGAACCACGGCTTTCGTGAACTTCTTGTTGCATTAATTCGATGCATGTTAAAATGGATTCAATAGTGAGAAATGCTTTGTTGTATAGATTAAAAAAACCTCCCGGGCTTGGGCTCCTTGGGTTTCTTTAAAAGTTTATAAAAAGCTCAAGTTTTCATTCATCTTTAACACAAAATTACCGTTACATAAAAAAACGCGTCTAACAAATACCCTGTATGGGTGGTGGGTCGGTGAAAGTCATTTACTTGTAAAATTACCCCGAATGTTTTTATACCGCTCGCTCCTGCATAAATTATTGGCAATCCATTTCCCCAGATCACGCCGGTGCCATTTAACCCTCACGTTCTTTTGACACTTCCTCTTAAAACCTGACAGGTCTTCATCTCGATTTGTCGCAATCACAGGAAGTTGGGCAGGTGTACTTCACAAATCTGTAAAGTTCAAGGCAGAAGACTTCACACTTGGTTAGTATTTGATGATTCCCTTGTTCAATTCACACAAAAAAAATTCACGACATTTTGATCTTTATGTGTGAGTACTCAGTAAGAGAGGAATACTCCTCTTGTCAGATGACAGATTTTCAAAGAGACGGGCATGCTTAAAAACAGTCTGAGAAATGTCGTGTCTAGCTTTTATGATAAGCATAACGTGACTTACGCCCAGTGTTTGGTTTGGTTTTTGCTCCGCCAGTATATTGTTCAAGGTTTAGGACTTTAGAGACCGTAACCTTGGAAATTTGCTTCACTTTTGTTCTTCCTCGTGTGTATGTTTTGACTTTATTTACTGTGTGTGATGCGAACAAACATAGAAAGCAAAGGTTTGGTAATATTATCTGCGAATTAACGACAAGTGTTTCCTAGAAACATGAATGGATACGTACATTTTTACCAAAGGATTTTAATTTTATACTTGAACTCTCATCACAGACGTTTTACGGGAGTCATTTTGTTGTTCCGTAAAATTTTCCTTCCAATAATCATCAGTTGGATGATATATATGAATATGCGTTTATTTTCAATACGAAATTTTGTTTGATTTGACGACTGGGAATTAATGTCTACAGATAGACTCATTTGCAAATTTTCCGTTTTTCATAGCATGCCTGTGTAAGATTTGAATATTTTAGTTTTAATGTCAAGTGTAGTTACAAAGGAGTGTCGTTTTTAAGAAGCAATTTCTTTAACTTTATCAAAACAAGGAATCTTTCTTGTATAGAGCCTTTTAGAATTCCTTTCGGTTGTCAAATGCTTCTTAAAAACGCCTGCTATATCACACAGAAGCGCGGTCTTTTTAGCTGACGATTATTTTGCTCGTCGCCAAAGTTTCTGCTTCCTTCAAGGGAAGGTCACTTGGGCAATTTTGATGCGCTAGTTTTCATTTAGAGACCTCCATAAACACGAACACGAGGAAGGTACTAGCCTAGTATATCTTTTCTATCGCGCTTTAAAGGAAGCAAAAAACCGTATGAAGGCAAAGGCAAACGTTACCAGCAACGCAGACTTTTATAATCAACAGCGTAAACAATAAAAGAGCGTTTGGCATAGGAAGCAATTCAAGAATTAAACTTTGGAAGAAGGATCGTAATCGCCGAGATTAGAGTCGAGATAAGAGTTTTACTTGAGAGTGGAGATAATTTTTCGCTCTGAAATCCACACAACATTTGTCAACGCACTATTCGGAAAGCAGGGTAAAAGATGATTGAGATTGACCGGAACTATCACAGAATTTCAGTCAGTAGCTTTTGCGTTCGAGGAAAATCCTTTTAATGGTTTGAAATTTGGTAAGTTTCCCAGGGCGCGGGACGGTCCATGGAACTGGCCAATCGCAAGAGAGGTTAAAAGGTGACGAGAATGAGCACAAATATTTATTAGGAAAGTTGTTCGGTCCTGAGTAAAGGAAACGTCTGAAGGAGGAAGGAGGAAGTAGTGCTAGATATTAAGTTTGTTTTTCTTTTCCATCGTTTATTATTGCTTTCGTATTTATTGATATGAAGTTTTCCTAGATGCTATCCTTGAGCCTATCCATCGACCAAATTCAATTTTGATCCATTTATCTTCGTTTAATGCAAACACGAAGACAGTACTACTTCCTTTAATTACAGTTTTCTAAAGAAATCCCTTTTTGGTTTGTCCTTTTTATTGTAAAATTTCGATTTGAGAAAGATCCCGTACAATCTTCACCGGTAGGCGGCGTTGTGGGGGTTCCTATCAGTTGGAATCGTTAATTAAAAGGAGGCTTAATCCTCGCAAAGGGCTCTTTATCAATGACAATCAGCTAACAAATTCTTAATGAAATATAAGGATTAAGTTGTCTGCAAACGTTTGCTAAAGGCTACCATACTATTGAAATAATCGAAAGATGTTCAACATTCATTTTGTCTCGAGCGCGAGGAAAAAGATCTTTGAGTCCGTCGCAGGATACGAACCAGGTCTGATTTTGCAGTCGGCTTCTCATGATTGAGCCACAGGGTTCCCACTAGCGAGCTTGGCTTACACTACAGCAGATTCATATGTGTAAATTGCTTTCCAGTTTTTGTTTATTTTCTGTGAATGATTCACTTGTATCCAGCATAAAGCAACTGTTGAGAGTGTGAGGTTGTCAACCACATTGGCAACAGATCTAACTGGGATATCCTGATCTCCCATCTTTTCGTTTGTTTGATTTTTGCTTTTTGTTTGCGTTTGTTGGACTTATTTCAGTGTTTGGTTTCTGTTCGTGTGCTTGTTTGTTTTTGTTTTTGTTTCGTTTAAACACAACAAGGAGATTGTAGTGTAAGTGATTATATGAAGTAAATCCTCAAAAAAAACTGTAGTCTTCGAAGCGGCTCCCGGACAGCATTAGCAATAGAACCTATCACAGGTGAAATACGATTTCTCTGACATTTTATTTTAAATATACTTTGATGTTAATTGCTACGTTGAAATAATGAATTTTGTTCCTGAAAATGTTTTGGCCCCAACATGTGGCTTTGTAGCTCAGTAAGAAGAAACGCCCAAACAATACCTGGTATGTGGCATGGATAAATTCTTTGTGCAAGTTTTATCCCTTAATTGTGGTTTTATCTTCCGCGATTGCATTTTTCAACTTTCTTGTTAGGATAAATTTGTCATTTATCATTCAGAAGTCAAGTAGATGACTTACTTCATATATTATTGATGACGTTTACGTCTAGAGAATGGCTATGGGGTTCTCGGTGACGGTGACTTTATCTCCTTTTGGAAGCAATTGTCTGAAACTGCAATTCGTGTGTTTAATGCAGTCTCATGTGTCATGCATTTGGAGGGTGATATAAAACATCTCCTAATTACGCCTGTGGGAATCAGTTTAACGTGCTCTGTCGGTAAGATAAGTATAAATAAACCAAATTTTAAAGCTTTCTTTAATTTGTAAGTGCGTATTTTACCGCGTAATTGCATAGCTCTAAAAACCTGAAACGTAACAAATCTCGGAAGAGATTTTGGCTGTATGCATAAACAGGAACACTACATTGTTATTCACTGCGGTCATAGTATCTTTTCCTGTCCACGAGGCTGATAAATGCAGTATAATCGATCGTGGTGGAGAATAGGTGTTCCATGATGCAATTAGTGTAATTCAATTTTTTTTTTTAGACTTGTCTCACTGTATTTTTTCTCCCTTTTCAGAAGGTCCTGAAAATTAACGCGTCGCCTGAAGAAATACTCAGCGATGGCCCAAAGAGCGGTAAAATAAACACCGGATGCATTTGATAATTCAAACTGCTTTGTTGTAGCAAGAAAACCGGATAACTTGTATTTGCGACCTAGCCTTGTTTTCTGCGAAATTGAAGACGTTTTTGCAAGCATCATCGACATTACATTAGCAGACACGTTATCATCTCTTGAATGAAGCAAATTTAACCGACGCATATCTAGTAAACCGCATTTGATTCGAAAGCCTGAAACACTTCTGCCTGTCAGAGATACGAGAACAGTCATGACACGAAAACGAACTACACTCGCGCATATGACTTCCCTAGTCTTACTGCTGATGCTTGTGTCTAGAACTGAAGCAAACTATACTCTGGGCTTGCTTATTCCTATGACTGATGCGGATTACCCAGAGAATGGACAATATTATGCTTCCGCGATGAGTATTGCGGTGGATGCTGTAAACAGACAGCAGAACCTCTTACCAGGTAATAACATTTCTTTTATTTGGAACGACACTTCGTGCTGGAAGGAAGATACGACCATTCGTGGGTTATTGCACCAGATGTACGAAGCTAACGTTGCCGCGATTATTGGACCGGCTTGTTTGTGTAATACTTCTGCCCGCATTGCGGCCTCCTTTGACCTTCCCATGATTTCTTACGTAAGTACACATTTTGAGTTTATTCGTTTAGACAAGTGTATGATAGGCACGGTCCTTTATTGTTTGCCTTTCTCAAGCTGTGTATTTTCAACCAAATTTTTGATGCAATTGGGTTTTTATCAAGGAAAATCAACTGAAACAGTTTCATTTTTCTCACCTATGTTTGTAACACCTTTTCCGTAATGAAATTCTTCTTAGTTAATTTATCGTTTTAATATTAGCATGTTCAAGGAAAATCGTAAGAGGTTTACATCCCGCGGTAAATTTAGACCGCAACAGCTGGTTTTAATCAGTGAAGAAACTCCTAAATTTTTTAATAACGGAAATCTCTTCTCCTTTTCTATCCTTGAACCATAACCCTGAATGCACTGAACTCTTGGTTCAATCGAATTTTTCTCGCAGATGGCCTCGCCTTTTTTCCTTGTTACTTTATTTTTTTTTTTTTTTCGGTTTCCTCGACATTTGATAATATTCTTACTATTTTAGCCCTCATCGTTGGGTATCGCTTCAGGGTGCCAATAAGCCAAAGCTCTCACGCCTTTTGAAAGGCTTGCCACAAACTCCAAAGGTTACATTGTCTGTGTTTTTAGGCTCAGCATGTTGCGTTTGATTAGTTTTTCTCCAGTTGGCATAACCGCAACCGTTTGTTAGGTACATAAAATTAATCAATCTAGCTTAAATTGATATAACCACTGTATCGAAAACACTGTTTAACTGTAACCCGAAAAGAGAGGAAATTTTCGGTTTTCGCCAATGCTGATCGGGAAAACTGAAAAAGGAAACCTAGGGGGCATCGATTGTGAAATTTTTAAAGGAAATAAAGTTGAGAATTTATGAAAGCGCACCAGGTGAGGGGAGAAATACAAAAGCTCTCCGACTGTCCAATAGAAAGAACGTATGAATAGTGGTTAGATGTGACTTAATATTTTTTCTCTGCCATAAATACTAACGTTGCATTGTCTTTGATTTCGTATTCATACTGCAAATGAAAGTCGGCCTCATTTCAAACTTCATTTCTGTTCACCCCAAAACTTTTCCTTCTTTCGTGAATCCAACATAATTATAGCTGAATTTTATTTCGGGTCGGATTCATGTTTTTGTCATTGTGCACATATTTTTCCGGCTCTTTCTATGGAAGATACAAAGAGAGGTTTATGGTGATGTTTGATTCAAGTTTGGGCAGAAAGGAGTCTAGCCTCCTGCAGCGATCACGGAGAAGAATTATGAATAAAATTATTAATGTGAAGTTCATCAAAACAAGTTGTTTGTCATCATGTTTCAACAATCTGCTCTTTTTAAAGAAAAGAAAAATTTTTGTTACACTCTATTTCAAACATAGCGACATCAGTACATTGTTATTACTCATTATTGCCTCAATGAGTGAAGATTTAAGTTATCAGGTGCTCCTCGAGATTCAATTGGAATCGTGGCCACTAAATTATGGCCTCAATTATCTTTCTGAAAGGTGAAATTGGAATTCATTTCATCAGTTAAAATGAAAGTGCCTGCATAAGAATTTTGACGCTGCCCTGAACGATTATCAGCAACTGATTACGTCTTTAAAAATCTACTCCGAGGATGAGTACAACCAATTTTTTTTTGGGGGGGGGAGCTCCTTTCCTAAACTTGGACCTTCCAACCGTCCTTAGAAACTTAAGACGGTAAAGAAAGACATCGCGACAATTTATAGTACATCATGTCTGTTATGTGGGTAGTCTGGACTCAAGACAAGTGGCCCATTCAGTCAGAGGTTATCCCGCTTTAGAATGAAGCGACTAGGAATATTTCTAACCCACCCACCTCCCCCCCTTCCAGATGGGATGCTATTCCATCACAGGTTACCCCCCCAGCATTTCACAAGGCTTCCCTAACAAGGGGTGAGGGAGGGAGGGGGCGGGGAAGGTTTTCTTATCTCGAAATCAAGGCCTCGTTTTCTCGTTGGAGTGTATAATTAGCCCTCTCTAGGGTCCGTTATCTTGAGATGCAGTCGGATAGTTTTAGGAAAAGGTAATTGGGACAGTCTGCGTGTGCAGAGTGGATCATGGACTTTGTACAGGGGGTGGGTGTCCGATAGCAGACCTACAAAGGAGTATTTTGCATATCCTTTCTCGTGGTCTGTGATGTAAAGACATGGTCGTACCAAAAAAAAAAGGAAGTGAAAGGAAGAAAAGAAAAACCTGTTCAGGCCACCGTGTTTACAAATCATTTCATCCAATCATGACTATTTTCTTCTTGATTACCTCAGTTATGCAGCAGTCCGGAACTTTTAAACAAGGAGCTTTACTCGACGTTTGTAAGAACGTACACCCAAACTACTAAACTTGCCGAGAGTGTTTGGTTGTTACTTAAAGAGTTCAATTGGTACAAAGTGGGTATTGCGTTCGAGCGACTTCCTCCTTGGAGTAACAGAAAGGACGATATTGTAAAGTTTCTTAAGATGAGAGGGGTTGAGATCCGAATTGAGAGAGAGATTCCAGATGAGGTTGAAGAACGTGAGAATCAACCGGCTAAAATCAGACAGCTCATGGAAGAAATGAAACCGCAAGCGCGCAGTAAGTGTTTTTGGTTACCAGGTAGATTTAACAAACGCATCGGGTGATGGTGGGTTGATGCTAATTGTGTGCCGAGAGTTGAGGGGTGGGGATTGCAGGTTTTGGATTCCTGGTCATTTAGAGCTTGTTTTCAGTCAAAAGGGGCCTCATGGAAGAGATCCTCTCAGCTCAGAATTGTTTCCTTTGTTCCACGCTTGTGATAAGGCCAAAAGACATATTTCTACAAACAGAAACTCGGGAATTATGACGTCATCTATGCATCTGTCCTCCGATAGACCAAAAATAAGAACCAATCATAATGCGTGGGTAATTCAGCTTATTATATAAATATTACATAAATATTTAACAATTATTCCTTGAGCGCGCGTTGGTTATAACCAACTTCGTATCCTACAAGCGCAAATGGAATAATTTTTTTATTAATTTCATGAAAATCTCGAACGTCTGGATATTTGGCGCTCCTTTTCAGCTCCGCAACAGTTGGCGCGATGCATTTCCATATAAGGTGATTGAGAATATGAGTGAACCAGTATGAGTGAACCAATCAGAACAATAGAAATGCATTATTTGGAGTTGGAAATTTAATTAAAGTAGATATTCACATTATTCCTTTTTTTTTGCAGTAATTATCATTGCTGCTAATTTCTACACTGCCCGTGAGATGATTCTTCCTGCTTACGAGCTCGGGTTCACCAATGGTGACTATGCATTTATCATGTTCGAACTGGATTACAATGCAGTCTTACGCGGACAGGCTTCCCCTCGTTCATGGTTCCTCGCCTCTTCGGATGGGACCGATAGGTTCCGATGCAAGTTTCAGGAAGGGTTTGAATCCGTGCTAACGCTTGCACTGGATGTCGACGAAAGCAGAGGAGCCTTCGACATATTTCAGACCGACGTCAAAAAACGTTCGTCTGAAGTGCCTTTTCCTAATAGTACCGCCTACCAAGGATATATTTTTGACAACCCCTCCCTTTCACCACGTAATACAACCACTGTAAGTATCCGATTTCTATTTCTAACAGACAGAGCTGAAAAGCGTCTGCGTTTGTGATGGAATTCGTCTGGTTTCAGAAGTTTTTTGTGCTATTGTTTGCACTTGAAGTACTACCTGGCCGATGTTTGTGTTCTACGATAAACGTCTCTAAAAGATATCTTATAACCTAGTCCACTGACTGTCTGTGAAGAAAGCTTCAGGCATAACTCATCCGCGTACGTCTTCACCGCAGCTTACCCGAAGCAAAAAAATATCGCCGTATGCATTTTTCTGAGACTCTGGCATTTTTCTTTATTGTTTCTAGCCACCTGCTTGTTTCTGTAAAAATTTAGGGTAGGGCTAACGTATTTCAGCCGCTTCTTTCTTCGAACCTCTTTCTGTAGTTTATCCAGATTTCCTCCCTCCTTTTCAAAAATAGCATTCCAAATATCATTGCGACCTGGAAATAGCTTTCTTGTAGAGTGTCAACTGTTGAAAACAAATTTTTTCCGATTTAGTTGTTATTAAATGTTGTATTTAGCACGGAAAGGAGGTAATTCCTCTCGCGAACGCGAGTGTTAATTCTTAATTTCATAAGGTTATTAATCTACCTCATAAGCTGTCCCTCAGCAGAACTATTTTACTCTTACTTGAAAATCGTCATTAGCCTTTTTTAACTCCACTGTGTAATCTGACTGAAACAGTTTTGGGATTAATTCCTTCAATTTCAATCTGCAGCCACCAATGTATGCAGCCTTCCTTTACGATGCAGTCTACCAGTATGCCATCGCATTGAACGAGACAATAGCTCGGAACGAGAAACCAAACGGGAAAAACATCATTTCCAAGCTACTGAACAGGGAATACGACAGTAAGTAGTGTGAAGCTACTCCACATTGCATGAAAAGCTGGAAGAGTTTAGATCATATGTACCTTAGAACCTCTCCACCATTTAGGTAAGTCCTTGATTGTGAAACAGAACAATTTTTTTTATTTTTCACGGACCACAATTGAACAGTGCTAACCATAAGCTTCGCCTAAATCCTCAGCTCAACTTTCTATTCTTGTTACTCGCCGTAAAGATCTTTTTTCTACTCCTTTGGCAGGTATCGGTGGTCAGCGAGTTTTCATTGACAAGAATGGAGCTGCTGAAGTTGACCTGGTCCTTTTGGACATGCGCTGGGAATTCACAAGTACGTTGATATTAGACTTATTTCATAATCGATTGAAGTAGTTATATGGCATTTCTGATTAAAAGTTTTTCTTACCTTCGCTCTCATGCTATTTCAACTCACGTCCTCTTGTTTTGAGATTCTGTTTAGAGTCCTGAACTTAACCGTATGAACAAAATATGGGAAAATTTCGAATACTTATTTAGAGAAGTGCCCGTTACATTTGATTCAGCATAGTCGCACTTTTCTTCATTGCACATCTTGGCGATCAGTTTATACATTGAGAAATTACGCAAACGCAAAAAAGGTTGCTCTTAAGAATCTCGAAATGTTGTCAGTTTCATTATTTTTCAGTTTCGGTTATTTTCAAAAAAATTAATCCGCCGACGATTGCTTCGTTTCTTGAGACAATGAGTGATTCATGCAGATTTTCTCGGCTATCACAGGAGAAAATTGCCCAAAGAATGCCTCTAACACTGCAACAATGGTACCGGTCGGAAACTTTAAGGTCACCTATACCAACAGCAGTGAAGTCAGCTTTTCCTTCAAGCTCTCACAGAATGAAAAGATCGAATGGCCAGGAGGTTCTCCGCCTGAGGATAGCCCAAAGTGCGGTTTTGATAATGATAAATGTAACCCCCCGGATTCTCCTGTTGGTGAAAGTGGTATGACAATTTATTACATGACTGGCTCTGCGATTCCAATCTTTCCCACTTGGGAGAGACGTGTGGAACACGGAAATATGAATCCAAACAAATAATGTTTCCTTTTAGCCTTAGGATGAAATATTTTTGTCCGAGCTGAGCTAGATATTGATATCGCTTTTTGATACGTGTCGTAAAACTCCGCTTCGTCTTGGCCCCTAATACGAGGCGACCTCACGCTGGGTGGTTGGTCCTTAAACACTCGGATGCCTTGGGATCGATTTATACCTTCCCTAAAAATGAAAAAAAAAGAATGTCATCCGGCATCGATCCGTTTTTAAAGGTGGATTGAAAATGTGTTTTGATGCATTATGGTTGAGATAACCAAACTTTTCTCAATGAGTTTGAAACGCCGTTATCCGGGTGGTAGTACGCTGAACTCCGGTTCGAGAAGTCCGCAGTGCTGTTCCGACTGAAGTGAATTGGTACGACGCGTCACTTGTCGAGCGCCCCTCTTTACCCAGGATTAATGCATGCAGATAGCAGCCATGTGTGTTACCTTACAATGCTAGAGGAATTCATGGTACCTTCATGCTGCTAACATCGAGATATAAAGAATTTACCGAAGTTAAGTAGGACTTCTTCGTTTATCTCGTATTTCTAATTTTTTATTTGTTCCTTTAGTGAAAATGGCGATCATCGCTGGAATATCTGGCTTTGCTGGTCTTCTCATTCTCCTGTTTGGCGTCAGCAGGATAAGGTTGGTTTCGCTGGTTATTAAATGTTTTTCACCTTGTGATAAGGTTAAAACAACCATGTCTCTATACTGCAAAACGAAAATTATTTCCAAATGTGCCGAACACTCGACTATTGACATCGCAGTTTTGGATCTTGCTCAGCAGCCTGGCCTCACATCTCTGACGTAAGGAAGTTTCAATCCTCTCCCTCTTCCAATTAGGAGCTACGCTAATCGACATTACTGATAATGACGATTTTTCTTTTTGATCTTGCGAAAAACAGAGCAGTAGTTTGCAATCCGCGTAAAAAGTTTTTACGCGTGGTGCAATTCGTCGAGTTGTTTTCAATTGGTGGCGTTTAAATATGATGTATTTGAGAAAAATTTTAACCGCGGTCTGGTTACTTGCTGTGCACCAGTTAGGTTCTCTTTAAGATGATTCTGGTATTCTTATGTGGGTTTATTTTCCTCAGACAAATTAGGTTGGAGAAAGAGTTAAAGAGTTTACTTTGGAAAATAAATTATGAGGAAATTGCCCTTAAAAGATCACATACAGGTCCAGCCGCGTTTACAGATGATGAACACTTTGATTTACCCAAAGACACGGAGGTACATGCGTTTTTTTAATTTTTATAATGGTGATGACCGCTTAGACGAAGATGTTCACGATGGTACTAATAACAAAAACTGACAATGGGAATGATGATTACCATGGCTTTAACGATGGCACTGATCATGACGCAGGGGATTATGATGCCATGAGAGCACAGGACAGGTCGTGATATATCGCCGGGGGGGAGGAGTCGGGGAATTTTGGTTCCGTCACAATAATATTTACCTGGTCCCCCTTAAGGCTCTGCAATATTCTCACGATTTCCGCTCACTGGCAGTTAATTGGCAGTCAAGTTGACTTAAATTTTAAACAAGCGATGAGGTATAGGAATTAATGTGACTTACTCTTAAAATGGTCAAGGGCTCATTTTAAAACATTTTTTTTTAGGAATACACATCAATTGATCCATAGTACTGTTGACTCACAATTTTCGTTCTGACTCTGTTACAGGAAACGGAAGCACCATTGCTGATGGATTCATTTATGAATGGTGACATTATTGGCGACTCCACCCGTTTTGGATTTTTTAAGGTTAGGTTTTAGAAGTAGTCAGGTGCTTTACCTGTAGATAAAGTCATGTCATATTTTTTTCTAATGTTCTCTGCCTTAAACGAATATGGAAGCGATCCTCGCAGTTATGAATACTTCTTGGGTAGTCGTGAAAATAAGGCTCGTACGGGATTTGAACTCATGACCTCTGCGATACCTGTGCAGCGCTCTACCAACTGAGCCAACAAGCCAACTGGGAGCTGGTCATTAGGTTGGTTCCAAATAAACCCTCGAAGTGGAGAAGAAATGACTGTAAATATTAGAAAATCATATATATGAACTGCGGTTGAAGAAACTATGCCTAACTTTTTTCGTACCAGGGAACCTCAGTTGTTGTTAAGCGAGTTGGGACAAAACATGTTGACTTGACACGTTCAGTGCTCCTAGAAATGAAACAGGTAAATTGAGTTTCTATTGATACCACTGCCCACTTATTTGTCATTCGCTTGTTGTGTTATTCAAATATTTATCATAAGTAGTCGATTATTAGTGTTATAGTCTCTTATGAATTTTATTCCCATTTTTTTTTTTTTGCACGCAGATGCTTGATATCCGTCACGATAACCTTTCGCACTTTATTGGCGCTACCGCTGATCCTCCGAATATTTGCATCGTGTCTGAATTCTACTCTCGTGGGAGTCTTGAGGTAAGTGTCCAATATCGGACGGTTGCCTTTAGCTCACTCAGTGATAACATCTTGGGCTTGCCAATCTGATTCTTTGTATAGTTTAGCAATTGAAAAGGTTATTGTGAAGGTCTCACATGATCCTAAATTGCTACTATTTTTGTGGGAGTATTGAGATTTTGCTGTGCCATAAATATATTATGATTATTAATATTATTACTATCACCAAATTTTAAGCTTTAATCAAATAGATACGAATTGGTCAAAAGAAAACCGCAAATCGTATTTCTCCGTAGTCGTGCTTGCTTCTATGCTGTTATTGTGCTTCTTCGAGTTTGATGTCTTTTTACGCTTTATTTCTGCTAGGAAATCCTGGAAAATAAAGATGTAAAATTGGATCACATGTTCATCTGTTCACTTGTTAATGACATCGCGAAGGTAATCAAGATCGATAACTTAGTGTTTGCTCCGTAACCACAACCACGAAAATCGCCAAAACCTGTTTCGAAAAACTACTGGCACTGGACAATAATTTCCGAAGATAGCCGAATGTTACGGACTAAAACTAACACTTGCCTACTTACACCACCATGACAAAACCCATAATCCTTTAACCCTCAGAAGTGATTATACATACATCTTCTCCCCGTAATCTCCACACATTATCCAGCCAACATGTAATGAGAATACTCAAACTTATCAGGTAGAAGTTAGTAGTCTTGATTTAACACCAAATTCTCGTGACTTGTTTACAAGGAAATCTTGGGAGTTAAAGGGTTATGAGACTATAGCCGCACAAAAATGAAATATGAACGAATTTTGTTGAGTAACTCGATTACTGGTTGTGTGATCCTCTCAAAAAGAAATTTCGTCGGTGGCTCCGGCTGATGTTTTGACAAACTGATGGGAAGTCATCGTTAGTAAACGATTATTCCACAGGCGCACGTTGGGTATGCCGGAGGATAGACGGGCCGGATTGGCATAATTGTTTGATTAAAAATGCCCCAAAATATTCATAAATCTTCCCCACTTTATTTTGTAAACTTTATTTGTTTGACGCGTAAAACTACCATATTTGTAGAGAATGGTATAATGGCTCATAACCAATGATGGCTAAGCCGATGGAAACTCTTGAATTGCATCATCTAATGAACCAATTTTAAATAAAATGAGAAATCCCCAATCCATCGACCTGTTAGCGACTTTTGCCCCCCATCGTCTTTCGCTGCTGCCGACAACATCTCGTATTATAAAACCATGTACGATAACATTTGGCTCTTGTTTTTCATAGGGAATGGGTCATCTTCATTGCACGGACATCAAGTCACATGGAAGTCTCAAGTCTTCCAATTGTTTAGTGGATAGCCGCTGGGTACTAAAAATTGCAGACTACGGACTTCCGACCTTTCGTTCGAAACTAACGAAAACTTTTAAATATACTGAATCTTATTACGAAGGTAGGTAGGAATCTCAGCTTTTTAAGCTGGAATTTGCGAAGTTAGTTTATGTGCGTTGTGACGCATGTAAGTATACAGAGGTACAAAGATACGCTGGAGTGTTCTTAGTGGTTCTCTGACTTCTTGGGAGACCAGTCATCATTTATCGCGGGGGGAGGGGGTTGGGGGGGTTGATAATTTTTTTTTTTTTTCAGGGGGGGAATTAAATGTGTCCAAGGGGAACGGAGGGGGGAGGGGTCAGTCGCCGTCAACAGAGTATAAAGGGGAAATCATAACAAAATGGCTGCCAATTAACTGCCAACTGCGGGGGATCTTGATAAGAGATAGTGTATGGGGGGGGGTGTCAAGTAAATTTTATCGTGACACAATCAAAAGCCTACTACCCCACCCTGGCGAGAAGTAATGACCGGTTCCGCATGAGCTATGATAACGAGGACAAAATGGAATATTTCCACCTCGGTACGCCCAAGTTTCCTAAGTGAAAAAAGATAATGATAAAAAACCTCAGGGCAAGGATAAGTTAAGTTCTTGATACAAAGCCAAATTACAGTCGGACTTTAGCTCTCAAGATCTGATTGTTAATTCTCCCTTCCAGCTGATACACATTTGCTCAGGAAATAGTTAGGAGAATTTAGTGTTAGATCAAGATAACAACTTCTACATCATGATGATGAGTATTCTCATAACCTGGTTGCCCTATAATGTAAAGATAATTTGGGGAGAAGTTACATGTTTATCACTTCTGAGAGTTAATCCATAGTGAATTCATCACACACCTTGCATTTACACAGCGAATGAACTAATGATTTCATTTACCTCGTGTTTCAGATTTGTTATGGACGGCTCCTGAAATTCTTAGACTAAGCAGTCGTCCTGTAAATGGAACACAGGAAGGAGACGTGTACAGTTTTGCCATCATCTTGCAAGAATTCCACACACGAGAAGGGCCTTACAGTGCAAACTACATGCAGCCAGAGGGTGAGACAAATCGTTATGAGAAAAGTAGTTTGAAATTTCTCTATGTGACAAGTAAGGTTATTCTTACAAGCCAGGCATGAGACTGTCTCTTAGTAACTCTTACAAGTTCAGTAGCTACACGAAGGAGTGACGCTTTGTCAGTTGGAAATAAGTTTTTACTAAAATGACATTTTGCAAATTTAAAAAGATGAAAATAAAAAATCACGAGTCAGTCAGTAGGTGTAAATCAATCAATTGATCGATCAACCAGTCAGTCATTAGGTCTGTCAGTTGTTCAGATATTTAATCACTCAGTCCGTTAGTTAATCGATCTGTCAGTCAGTTCGTTAGTCTTTAAGTCAGTCAGTCAGTCAGGTAGCTAGTCTGTCATGATCATATGTCAGCCAGTTAGGTAAGCCAGGTTACCAAGTGAAAAAAAACAACCACCAAATCAAAACTCTCGTTCAAATCTTTCTGGAGTCGTGTTAGTTTTTCAAACCCTTGTAGGACCTCTGATCAAACAGTCAGGCAGTGATCAATAACATGCCAATACGTCAATAAAAGAGTGACTTTCTATTCACTTTCATTCCCAGAAATTGTAAAGAGAGTTACAGAGGCCGAAATACCGCCCTTTCGCCCCACGGTCGTCAACCTTATCACTGGAGTGGAAGAGCTCCGAGAATTAATGAAATTATGCTGGGAGGAAAAGCCGGAAGCTCGCCCAGATTTTCACGATATAAAGAAGACTATGCACAGAATTCTTAGTAACAGTGGCATGTAAGTGATTTATCTCATGTCCTTTAGGGTCATTTTGAGAAAGTTTTTTTATCGCTGTGGAGCACCAGCGGGACCAAGAAATTTTAATGAATGTCATGTTTTTAAGTCGGGTATATAAGAATTGATTTAGAAGCGGTGTACCGAGTTTTCTTGCATGACTCCAGGCTATGTTTTTCGGTTTGAATTAAGCATTTTGCAAAGCCTTTCGTTTTTTGGAAAGGGAGGCTAAGGTTGACCTTAAAATGTTGACCACTCTGAAAGCGTTAGGATTCATGTAAACATGCCTACTTAAGTATACCTCTTTCCATTCCCTTCGAATTTTCTTTTTAGCGATTGTGCTAACCTGGTAGATCCTTTTCGAACCTTAGGAAAACAAATATTTTCGACAATGTGGTGTATATGATGGAGAAATACGCGGACAATCTTGAAGATCTTGTAAGCGAAAGAACTGTACAGCTAATGGAGGAAAAGAAAAAGACAGACGCCCTGCTGGACAGAATATTACCACGGTGAGTTTCCTTTTAAATTTTTCTGCGTACTAAAAACCTGAAAATAGAGAATAAAGCCAAAAGGGTGAATCCTCCACAAAAGCCGTTTTCCCAACGATATCCGTGTCGTGCTATTTCTAGACTCACTGTTTCTCACCGTCGATGTCTTTGCAAGCCATAGGCTGCGTATTTTTTGGGAATTTCACACACGAGATTGATCGATTTAATAACAACTGGGACTGAGAGCGACTGTGACCCATACAAAGAGTCAGTTTCCCTTTGATGCTCTCTTTCAAACCAAGGACATCACATTGCTTGTCTGATGCAGTGCAGTTGTTGAAACGTCGCGAGCTACAGCTTGACTCGACGGTTGATAGTGACACGTTATTTCGCATGTTTTCTCTTCTAGTCCCGTGGCTGAGCAGCTTAAAAGGGGCAAAGCAGTGGAAGCGGAGAGTTTTCATGAAGTGTCGATCTACTTTAGCGATATTGTGGGATTCACACAGCTTTCATCAGACAGTACACCAATGCAGGTAAATACAAAACATTTCAAGACACCTAAGTGTACATCTTCTCGTGCAACTGGAGGAGTTGCTTTGAAGCCTGCTGAACTGTTTATTGTGCTTAACTTGAGTTGCTCAAACTTGCCTTTCATCGTTGACTACGGGTGATGTCCACACTGAATGCACACATGAGCGTTAGCGCAAGTAAAAACAGCTTGGATGCAAGCACAGTCATAAGCTCAATTTTGCCGATATTAAGAATATCTGCTGGACGCAGAGAGATTGAACGAGTGTATCAGTGTCGCTAGTGAATATCTAGCTTAACTGACTGGTTTACTAAATAACAGACTGACTGACAGAGTATTGCCTGGCTGACTGATTGGCCGGCAGGTCGTCTGGCTGATTAGCTAGCTGACTGAATGACTTGCTGGCTGACCGACTGGCTGAGTACATGACTGAATGAGTAGCAGGCTGGCTGACTGACCAAGGGACTGACTCACTGACTGATCGTCTGATTACAGACGTGCTTACACACGAACAAGCCATCTATTGATTAGTTGGCTTTCCTTCTATCACTCATCAACTGACGTCTTGTACAAGTTCGATATGTTCTTTTTTACCTCTTGATAGGTTGTGACGTTTTTGAATGCCCTGTATACATTGTTCGATGACATCATAAGGGAGTTTGATGTTTATAAGGTAAATTCTCCTTTTCCCATATTCGCTTATAACGTTTTGCAATCGATGCATCAATTAACCGATGTTTAATTGATCACTCAGTTTAACCCCTAGGCCCTATAAATTCAATCTTTCTTTTCTCGTTTTCTTAGGTGGAGACAATTGGTGACGCGTACATGGTTGTATCAGGTCTACCAATTAGAAATGGCGATAGTCATGCTGCTGAAATTGCAGGCATGGCTCTTCATCTGATCGCTGGAGTGAAGCAGGACTTTGTGGTGCCTCATAGGCCTGATCATAAAATTGAACTGCGTGTTGGTATACATAGTGGTGAGTTTAAAACTTCTTGTATGCACTTAAATTTTATTCTATCCGTTCTAGTTTCCTTGCATATTTTGGTCCAAACGACCATACTATACGTGAGACAACCGACTATACATACTCCATATATAATTGTACACACCGCTATGACTTAACGATATTTTCCTCTTTAGGTCCAGTTGTTGCAGGAGTAGTGGGAAGTACTATGCCTCGTTACTGTTTATTTGGGGATACAGTGAACACTGCGTCTAGGATGGAGTCAACTGGAGAAGGTTGAGATTAAATATGCTTGCCAAAATGTGATACCTCATTTGTTTTTCTTTTTTTCTCTCATCTTGCTCATTCAGTCACTATTTGGCTAAAGTTATCTGTAGTGAAACCGTTTTGTGGAGTTTTTTGCCTATTATTTTCGAGACTTGTTTGTAACTGCTTACGAATAGGCAACAAAGCTTTTTTTCTTCAGTGCCGAGGTTGTGATGAATTAAGAATCTTTCTTTATTTGGTCATCTCTGAAAATTTGATAACTTGTTTTTAATCAACTGAGTTGATAATGTAAATTGGTCACCGCAAAGAGTTTCTAAAACGTCAGCTTTTCAACTCTTTACGGTGGCCAATTTACATAATCAACTCAATTGATAAAAGCAAATTATCCTGTTATACTCTTCCACCGACGCAGTACCACAGTTTCTATGAAAACGTACCCACTTCATCTCTGAAAATCGGTTGATTTGATGGATCCGCAGCATAATCTAATTATGAGTATTTTTCACTCTTTGTTGTAACCACTTTTCTGTTTTTGAGATTCTTAAATTGATTATTTCATTTTCCCTGCTTTATTCATATCTTCAGGTTTAAAAATTCACATAAGTGAGGCCACAAAGAAACTCCTTGAAAAATTAGGAGGTTTTAGAATCGAGGAAAGAGGAGATGTGTTCTTAAAGGTGAGGTATCCGTTGTAACTTTTTAAAAGTGATTTTTGAATGACGTCTCCTTAGGGTTGTGTCCTACCATTACAAGCATTGCCTATAAGTTTACTTGGCTTACAACCCTCAACGATTAAATTAACAACATCAGCATTCGTTGTCCCTTATACTCCAACTGTCTAAATTCAAATCAAATCTATATCAAATGCCTCTATCTTCCGTTCAAGTAAGTTTGGTTAATTTACTGCTGGATCGACCTGTGAATAGTCCTTTGAATACTCCCTTGACCCCGAAGAGATCATATCTAAATCAAACATCAAGGTAACGAGAATATCGGAAATGATCACCAACTGAAGAAGCCCTTGATTATGAAACATGTCAAATTCTCCTCTTCATCAACTACAGAAATCTCGAATTCGTGATGTTACTGTGAAAATTGATTTTGACACTCAGTCCTCACTCGTACGTTTGTGTGTTGTTTACCAAACCACCCTATGCTCTTTCCCATTTAAACCTTAAACGCAACTCTTACAAAGTGTCTTAGTAAGTGTAACCTCCTTTTTCGTACATTCTACACCAAAATGTATTTATCTATTCACTTAACCCTTTGCACCCAAATATCAGTATGGATATTCTCCATACTGTTCTCTATACATTTCCCAAGTTGCTGACAAGGAGAATTTGTTTATCAATCAAGAGAATATTTCGTTGGTGATCATTTTCTTCATTCTCGTGACCTTATTGTGTGATGCAGGGGTTACACTATTGGGAGAAATTAGATGCTAATCACTCTCATGGGTTAAAAGGTTAATTCTCCTTCCCTTAGGGCAAAGGAACGGTAAAAAGTTATTGGCTTGTGGATTTCGCGAGAAAGACACCACGCTTTAGTCGGCGTTCATTTAAGAGAGTTAAAGAACACTCAGACCAATCCCCGGGCTTACTTGGAATATTGGAAGCTCCGCCATCTCCCTGCAGGGTATCTCGGACGTCTTCTCTCAGAAGAACTATGAAATCTATGCAGCCTGAACCTCAAGTAGCGAAAGGAAAACACGTAGTTGACGCAAACGATAAATCGGACGATTTCTCGTCTGTTTGACATCGAACTATTGAGTCATCATACACGAAGTACAAGGCTTGGAGATTACATCTGACGGAATTGTCGCTGACTACAAGAGATATTCTATTATACGCTTAGATGCTGGAAGAATTTTTGTTGTGACGCACACCTCAGTGTGCTTTTGAATACGTCCAATCTAGTTTGCTACCTTAGTTTGCTTTCGGTGGTTTTCTCAAGTCTGGTAACAACGAGCTAAATACAGAGTTCCAGTCTCCAAGCAGAAACCCATTTAGGAGAATCGCCATCGACACAAAGATATGTACATCATTCCCATGTGCACAGTTATTCAATCATTCAAATAATCTTGTGTGGCCAACAGTTTAAAATGAATGTCATAGTTATGCAATGCGGAGCTATATTTTTGAGGATGTAGAAATAGGATTTAGAATTACTTATGATGAGGAAACAACGCGCAAAGAAATTTATGCAATATATAATGCATGTCCCGCTGCAGATGAAAAACTAGAAATTTTATTAGAGTAGGTAAATGCTAAGACATTGTTGCTAATGCGTAATCAAATAATGAACAGAAATGGGCTTAACCGGTGCTATTGCGTTTGTAGCGCAAATGTTCACGGAAGTGTAGAAATCCTTTTTATCTATTTATAGCGACTAAGAAAAGTTTTTTTAGAAGGCTTTTTATTTTTTGTTGCAAAAGGAGCCAAGACGAACTTTCAAGCAAGCCTTTCTTCCCAAAATTTATCATGAAAATTTTTATCGTAATATTAACGTGACTTTGCATAAACCGTACACGGACGGTCTTTGAACAAAACATGGCCTCCGAGAACTTTCGCTGAAATTAAATTTAATTCAATTCTTTCGTGGTCGATTTTCTCCACCGAAGGTTGAATTGGTATGTTACAGCCAGTTTATCATCCCATAGTTAAAGGTTCTATCTCCCTATGTCGGAATCTCCAACCCATCTTGATAGCTTTGCCAACAGTAAACCAAAGGCAAACCAAGCTGTATTACCATTTTCGCCCTAATACACAGTTCGTTACTGCCACGTACCTTTCCAGCCACAGTCAAATCCCAAAAGTGTTTCATACTTGTCTTTCTTTTCAATTTAAAGTTTCCTATAGTGTTTACACCGTCAAAATTTGGAATAAGAAAATAATCACAACAATAATATTAACCGTAAATGAATAAATACATTATTCAAGGAAGACAAAAATGGACAAAGATTTTTTTTGTAATCAAAGATTTTGCATATTTACACCAAAGGAACAATGTAGATATTGTAACTATACAATATATTAGGAATAAAGAGCTGGTAACCTTGTCCCTCGAAGGGAAAAAAGTAAAGACCTGAGAAATTCCAGGTTGTGTCAGTTTCTGTGTTACATATATCGGAGTAAAACTGATGGATTTAAAATCCTTTTTATTTGAATGTTTTTTGAAAACGTAATGATTTTTTGGGAAAATGGAAACACGGGAGCGTTTGGGAGATGCACAAATCCCTAAAGGAATCATTTTTATCAAGGTTAACACGTACAAAGAAATTTTTCTCAACTGAAAAAAAGCAATTGGATTCTCTGCGCTCAGTGCCTTGTAAGCCAGTGGCGCATGTTCAGTTCTTTCCACTGGAGAGTGGGTGAGCATAAGTTTATCTAGTGAATTGCGGCTTGTAACGCAATCCTTTCTCACAACGGCAGGGCAACCAGATTCACAGCTATTAAAGAAGATTTGGAGACTTGTATAAAATCAAACAAAGTAATGTCCTAAACTACACGTGATTGCCTTGTTATGCCTTTTGTGAGCGCAAGGGGAAAGCCCCTCCTGTCATGTTTTGAAGAGTTTGTTGCGTTTGACAGAATCCTGTATTCTCAGAAACCATCAGTAGCAGTATCACGCAAATTCTTTTGGCGCAGACCAGCACCTCTTAATGGCGTATTTCAATTATAAAGCTGATCTCAGGCTCCTCCAAGCCACATGCTTAGGCCACTCGAGTGAACTGGGTATGCACCATGAAATACAGACAAAAAGACATCTCTTAACCGGATAGTTACCAACAATTTCTAACTTGAAAGTTGGGGCAACACTGATCACACGTGCAGACACACGAATACCTTCCCAGATTCCTTACACACTTGTAATAGAGTGCGTACTTTCTTTCCTTTTTTCCCGATTGTTACCGTTACCAACAACAACCTGAATTGGAATTTTTGTCATTGGGTTTTCAGACGCACATTTGAGTGACCTTCGTAACGACGACGAGCGCGTAATACAGGAAGGTTTCAATCCTCCGCCATCGTTGGTACTATTGAAAAAATGTCTCTTTGGACGCGGTCTTTTTGGAGAGACTGGCTGTCTTGTATGCTTATGTTCCATCAACCAGTATGTTGTGACCTCTCCTTTTCCCTTTCACAAGAAAAACAACAAAAAGCAAAGTCAACTTGGACGGGCAAAACTAGAGTGAGGATCTCAACGGAGTGATGGCTTTTACGGCTAACGGCCAAAATTTTGGCAATTCTACGGCTAACGATTTTACAGCTAACTTCCTTCATTTGTGATTGAAAGAAAAAATGTTACGGTTAACTTTTTTTTACAACTAACGGTTAAAATTGATCAGTTTTTAAGCCTGACGACATTTTTTTTGGCCGTTTAACGGCTAAAAGTTAACCCTATTGAGACTTTCTAGAGTGCATCTTGACGGCTTAGTAGTTAGTAGTGGCCTCTAACTAGTTTCTGAGAAGCATTCGGTTCGAATTCCGTTGAGGCCTGAATTTGTTTATACAGGCTTCTTATCTGTATCTGCCTAAATTTTAGCTCACTTACTTAGATCATACATCATTTCTTTATTTGAATAAATGTGTACCTTCAAGTGCACTTCTCCTCTGCGCTTGATCGTAAATCCTCCAAGAATTTCAAGAATATTCTTTGTTGCTTCGCTGATATGTATCATTCCGGCTAAACAAGAAAGGGAACAACACTATTAGTCTAGCGGGTCTATCGCTAGTAACCTATAACGTCCAGAGCATTAAAAAGTTCAATATAAAATAAAAAATTTATCACACACAGACTGGATTTTGGCAACAGAACGCCCACGTGGTGAATCTCCATCCAATATTTTCAGAACGAATCGGAAATATTAGGAGAAAAGCCAAATAACCAAAAGGAAAACAACGATCGAACCCAGATCTTTTTGATCCATAGTTAAAGCGTGTCCCAGGTCGCAAAAATTTTTTCTCATTTTTTCTTCCCACTTGGTGAGTAGGGTCACTTTGTTAACCCACATCCCATCCCACTCTTTCCCTCCTCACCACAGATTTTTTCATTTTATCCTTCCGCTTGATGGGTTGGGGCACTTTGTCAACCCAGACCCCACCCGACCCTTTCCCCTCTCGCCATAGACTTTTTCTTCACTTTACCCTCCCGCTTAGTGAGTAAGAGCACTTTGTTAACCGCGACCCCACCCCAATGTTTCCCATCTCGCCACAGATTTGTTTTCCTTTTTTCCCCGCTGGGTGAATAGGAGCTCTTAATTAACCCCAATCCCACCCCGGTCTTTCCCCTCGCGCGCGGCAACCAGAGGTACTGGTACTACTACTATTGCCTTAACCTTCTCCATTGGACTCCATTCTGGATGCAGTGTTCACCGTGTCGCCAAAGAGACAGTAACGAGGCATAGCGCTTCCAACCACTCCAGCAACAACAGGACCTGTGGACAAGAAGTAGATATAAGTTACAAAATGGAGAACTTAGGTCGTTGAAATGTAACAGAAAAAAAAGAAATCAGTGATGGGCGTATGTAATAGCGCATATAAGGTAGAATGAACAGAATAAGGAAATCCTTGTCACTCACCACTGTGAATACCAATACGAAGCTGTAGTTTGTACCCAGGCTTATGACGGACGACGAACTCTTCCTTGACTGAGTCCAATAGGTGCAAAGCCATCCGGGATATTTCACCCGCATGATCGTGCCCATTTTTTATCGGAAGACCGGAAACCACCATGTAAGCGTCACCGATGGTCTCAACCTAAAAAAAGGAAAGGACAAAATCACATAGTTAATTCTTTAAATTTTGAGTCAACTATAAGATTAATCAGGAACACTCAGTCAGGCTACCCTTGTAGCGAATCAGCTGCAATACTAAAATCAATCCTAACTCGGCCTCTTGCCTTTTCCCGCGCTGAAAGGCAGTTTGTTTGTGTTTACCTTGACTTCTTATTGGCTCGTTGCGATATTTCCCGAAAATATGATTGGCCGTCCTGATATTTGGTTTGGGTCTTTAATGAACTCAATCGAGGAAACAACGATGAGTGTACGATGAGGTTTCCAGGCGCTATTTTACATTAGCATGAATGGTTTCTATATGCTTCCGGATTTTCAATCAAGTACTAAGCTTACCTTATATACACGGTATTCACTTATAATGTCATCAAATAATGTGTAGAGATCATTAAGAAGAGTAACGACCTGAAAAAGAATAACGATGAACTCCAGTACCATAAATGAAATTGGGCAAGTTACATTAATTTGTCAGCAGAGTGCCCTCCATCATTCTCTCTCAAGTTCCGCATCGGAACGTAAAATTATGTCTATGGCAAACAGCAATTGGTAAATTTCGAAATTTCTCCGGCTGCTGAAATCAGCATCACTTTGGCTTCGTGTTGTCGCCGTTACGTCGAGCAAAAAGAAAAAAGAGAATTAACACTTTATCATGATTGCCTCGATGATTATAGAGATGCACGTGCTCTGATTGGTCGAGGTTTGCGTCATGTCTCCCCATAATAACCCCGCGCGCGGTGCTTAAAAGAATAGGTGATAACAAGTGACAACAGAATTCGAAAGCACCTATGTTAAAACAATTACTCGCCTCAGGCTTAGGGAGTATTTGTGAAAAATCCCCTTGGGGATTATTCACCAAAGTTTAATTCGCCCTCGGCGAATAAATGTCAAACAATAATAATAAGAGTAATAAGGAATATAAAAACAAACTAATAGTTCAGATAATACTGAACACTATGTACAAGATTGATGGAGACACCCTCAGTACAAGATGTAACATCTCTCTGGCTCCTTTAGCATCAGATTTTTCATGTAACATTAGTACCATTCAGTGCGCGCATCTCAATTTGATCTTCTCAAAATCCACCTTTGTATCAGGCTCACCTATCTTGATAAGTGCTGTCAGCAAACAGGTGAATCAAACGCTGTCAGCATACCTGCATTGGCGAACTCTCAGAAGAGAGGATTGTAAATCCTACGATGTCACTGAAATAGATGGACACTTCGTCAAAGTTTTCGGCCTCGACTTGTTTTCCCTTAATGAGTTGTTCTGCAACTGGTCTGGAAGAAAAACATAATCATGACATCCTCAGTGCGATCAGGAGGAAATAAGTGAAGAGGGAAGGGGGGCGGGGTGAGGGGGGCTCTTGGTCCAAGCTTTGGAATCAAATCCAGTTAGGATATGGACAGATAGTCCTCCGAACTGAGGCGTGTTGTCTGAGGCGTCCGCATGACAGTAACGGACATAGAACGTGCTGAGTGAAAGCAATGTTGTAGGAGACGAAGTGAACCTCACTTTGTTGAGACGACGAGGTGACTGGTAATTTGAAGGAGACGACTGCGCGCGTCAAGCTCACAAACAATCAAATTAAACAATACCTTGGAAATATTTTGTAAAGAAGTTCTTCTGTTTCTCTCTTTGCCTCTATTAATTGACTTGTTCTTTCAGTCACAATATCCTCAAGATTGTTGGCATAGTTCTCCATCATGTAAATCATGCTGTCGAAAATGTTAGTTTTACTGCAAAAGAAAAGGAATGAATTCTTCTTACTGTCGGCTGAATATTTCCGACAATGTTAGTTCCGAAAAATCAGTATCAATCAAATTAAACAGTATCAGGTGCTATGGTAATGTTTTTCATGTTCTCATAAACCTTTCGTCTTCACAAGGACTAAGTGCCTGCTTAATGGTATTCCCTTGGAGTTTTGAAAAAGTGAAATTTGAAGGCTCTAACAAGAAAATTCGTGTTTAAAGAGTCTGTTTTAGTTTCGACCAGAATGAAGAATTGAAGTTAAAAGTTTTCTAGTAATGTGAACACATTTTAATGGAATTTGTCAGCTTTCCCAACATAAATATTGTTACGATTCCTACTAGTGCGATCTGCCTTCATTAATTTTGATTCACTCACATTCCTTTATTGACCAGAATCCTGTTTATTCTTTTCTTGATCTCGGTGAAGTCTGGTCTGCTATCAGGATCTTCCTCCCAACAGTTTTTCATCAGATCCCTGAGTTCGTCCAATTCTTCAATAAAATTAAGCACAGAAGGGCGAAATATGGGAACTTCGGGTTCTGTGATTCTCCCTACAATTTCTTAATAAGACAGACAAAAGGTTTGTTACCATCCTCGTCATACATGTAACTGTCAAAGATTTGGAGATTAAAGGAAAAAACACTGATACGCAAACCAAAATAACTAAATTTTTCCTGTCTAATGCGCCTGTCTTGCATGCACGTCTGTTCTCTTCACCCACGGTCTACCGGTACGTTCTTCACGAGTGCTTGGTAAACAGGATCTAAGATCCCTGATTTTCACAAGGTTCTATGTTTTGTTAGCTGTCTACCTTTCGCGCAGAGGTTCCTGTTATTGCTAAATGGTCCTTTCCTGGTGTGAAACTCTTGAAGAATGATAGCAAAGCTGTACACATCGGCCTTCTGAATATTGACATATTTCCTGTTTCTCTTATGAGAAGCACTGTTAGGAAAACTGAAACGTTTACGGAGTAGCTCCGGTGCTGTCCAAAGTAAATCTGGATGGAATAGATAAGAATAAAAAATTACGATATCGTTATCAAAGTGTTAATGAAACGTTTGGAGTAATTTTATTTCTTTTGTTGTTGTTGTTGTTGTTTTGATTTGTTTGGTCTACTTTTCAACATTGAAATCGCGATTGTTTAGTTTAGTTTACCTTCGCTGCTCGTCTTTGCACTTAAATTACACTTTGATCTCAACATAGTGAGGCCATAATCAGAAATTTTCAGCGTCCACCGACTGTCTATCAGGCAGTTGGAAGATTTTAGGTTACCATGGTACTTGAGATCTGACGAATGAAGATAGGCCATACCCTGACGAAAGAAACATAAAAAACACCGTCAAGGTAAATAAATAATAAATTATGACACCATTCTAAAGCTATCCAAGTTTGGTCTGCAACTAAGCATCGGGGCCAAGCATTAACCGTTGTTATTGTGAGGATCAAACTTCGCAACATGCTGATATGCAATCCTTCGATTTTGTTCAATTTTTCTCCCCTTTCACATTAAACGCCGTTTTAAATCACCAAAATGATGCTTTTGAATCCCAGCGTAAGGATGACTTGACTTTTTCGCATGAGGTTGGCTAACGCGCCGTCAAGTGGGTATGCCAATCTTTACCACACAGCTTTTTACACCATCGCACAAGTTCTTCCATTATTTAACGCGAAGGAGTCTTTTCAGCAAAATTTTCAACGGCCTTAGACGCAGGATCGGCCCTCTATTCAGTTCCTTGAACCCAGCACACTGCTGAACAGAAGAACATCCATGAAAACGCTTTTCGTTCCCTCCACTGCTCACGTTCGAATCAGAATTTCAGATGAAATTTTTAAATAAAGGCAAGAAAAGACCAAACGAACTAACACCAAACTAAGCCCACATGTGACGCCAAGTCAAAGAATCCCATGAAACCTGACCTGTCAGAGGGAAGGTTCAAGGCAATTCACACAACCGTTATTGTTATCTTTAATCATTAGCTACTAAAAAACCGCGCCATTTTGCGAAAGGATCCGCATTTTGATCACCCACCTTAACAATGTCTGTGACTAAAGACGAAATAAATGTTTTATCCAGCTTCACGTCTGAACAAGCCAGAAAATCCTATGGTTGGAAAAAGAAGATAACATGATATAAAGAAAATGCGATAATTCAAAAGAAAAGGGGGTCAATCTATCTCGAAGCGAATAACTTACAAAATCATCGATTCTATCGATGACCCGCTTAAGCAACACTTCTTTCTCCGTTGAAAACACTTGGTCCAAAAAACACAATTTTGTTCATTTCTCGTGAAATAATCTCTCCCTTTAGATATACCCTCACGCATGTCATACCTAATTTGGTTTCATAGCCAGCTTCATCCTAAAAATGATTTCAACTGAATTAACGTATTTTAATTGTGATATACTGCTGAGAAAAAACAGTTTCACGCCCTTGGTTTCAAGTCCTAAAACGTTTTCCTTAAGAAGTTCTTCATTGATAGTCGGATCATCTTATCGAACAAGACTGTTACCTTAAGGGTTCTGGGAAGGAAGGCAAAAACAATGCAGATGTAAGGTGAATCAACAGTGGCTCCACAAAACTGGGCGAAATTTTCGTGACGAAAGTCGCGTATCTGAAAAAGGCAAAATTGTTCATCAGAATTCATTTAATTGTTCAAGTTCATAGATTCATTGGTTCGGACTCTCACATATTCACCTAATTCTCTCGTTTGTTCGTTGTTTTTTCCATTATTTTGATTATCACTCGTTCATTCCTCACTTCTTTTCTTCCATACCTCTTTTGAAACGATATCGTCACCAGCCTCCATCATGCAATTCTCGTTTTAGCTTCAACAGTTCGAGTACGACAGGCCTCGTTTGTTCGAATGGTACTTAACCCTTTACACCGTGACATAAATATTCATATGTTTCACACTGTTCTCTCTACATTTCATGTGGTAATGACAAAGAGAATTTATTTAACAGTCACGTGATTGTTAAACTGATGATCACTCCCTCTATGTCATGGCCTTTATAGTTGACTCAGTCAAGAGTGATACCGAGAGGAGCATGGAAAACAGGAAAAACACTTCAGGAAAATACTTGTAACGTGACAACTCACGCTGGTTAATCGTTGAAAAAGTTTTAGGGAAAACAGACTGACCAGAGGAGTTTCCAGGCTCTGGCAAACCAGCTATGAACGCCATGTTTTTTTCTTATGTTTGCTTACAGTGTATACCGAATATGCCGAGCGTTCTCCACAATAGGAAAACGAAATTTGAACGTTAAGACATTTTCCTTGAACTCACCATTTGATAAAATTGTAGGCGAAAAAGGAAATTTTTTTGCCGTGGAAGTCTGAAGCTAGACATTCTTAGGGTTTAAGGGTAAAACCGGCTAAACCCAGTAAAGCTAAAACTGATCTCATGTTTTTTAACACTCATCCATTATATGGTGATTTGCGACTTTCACAAAGATCGTAATGCGATTTTCATTTAGCACTCTGTCTTTGTTACCTGTTTCAGTTCTAAGAGAATAGATTTTGTTAAATCAATCGTCTTGGTTCCAATCTGCTTCACGGTCACTTTATTTTCCTACAAACAAAGTGAGATTTTCTTTTTAGTTATATGCTTGTAAGGAGTATACATCCTTCTATCTCAAACATTCTTCTTATAAGCCATTTTTTTACTGTCTGTTTAGTTTTGGTCCAATTGTCAATTACATAGCATCATCCTCTCCTCAGAAACACCATCCAATATGGTTACCAAGCTATGTACCCATTTCACGTTACACATCTACCGTCTTTAGTTCATAAGACACTCACTCACCTTATAAAATCCAAAGTTCGTAAAAGTATATTGGTTGCTTGTTCTACGAGACATTGAAAGCGAATTTTCTTCCTGTAATGAACAACGCACAAGCTTTATCATTGTTTAAGCAGTTTCAAACTCATAAATTTGAGAAAGGGAGTTTGAAGCTAACATAAATCTTAATTTTAGAGCAAATATCTCGTGTCTTTCTTCTCAAGAGTCGCATGGGTCCACGGTTTTGTTACAAAAATAATTGACTGAAAATAAATCCAGTGAAACCAATAAATGTTTTCAAAATTGTTACCCCTTAGAGCACTTGAATTTGTAAACAAATTTGAATCTGCTGTGAAGTTCACTCCTTGGCAAACAGTAAATAAAACAGCTTCAGCACATAGGCCAAGTGACTTACAAGGCCGGAACTAGTCTCGATATCTGTAGTTTACAATAGCATAGTTAAAATACTGATAATAATAATATTTATCCAGGGCCTGCAAAAGATCTCGGTTGAAGCATCGAGACGAGTTTCAAGGAGATTTAATTTCACACTTACTTCAGCCATGTCAGAACTAACGCTGGAAGACGTCTGCACCCAACGAATGTCTTTGTAATTCATTTTCCACAATAAACTGTCCATCTCTTTTTTTAACATGTATTGTCTGTGGAATGAAAAAAGCAACCGGAGAGTGTTGCTTAAACATATCGGAAAATCACTGTCTTAGGATTCCTAACATCATGAGAAAACAAAAGAGGTTGTACCCTAACCTTGTTATGATCTTACTAGCATTTAAGGTATACTAGGATATTTCACTCTTATAAAATTAACGAGATGCAGCAGTGTGGTTTCATGTCAAAACACACGTGTGTGACGTAACATTGTCTGCTGTCTTATCAACCGAAGCTCTCAACCAATAAGCGGCTATTTAGCTTCACGTTTAAAACCGCTCATGATACCTTTAACTCCAACGAAAAAAAAAACGGAAGAAGCGAGCAAAAAAAGAATGCCTTTACCTGATGACATTGACGAGGAGTATGATACAAGTGATGCCTGCAAACGCTGAAACTCCTCCAATAATAGCACCTAAAATAAAACATATGACGAATTACTCACACACCGAAAGCTCGAGTGTCAGCGAATTTCAAATGGTGACAGTTTCTTCATGAACACCAAATGGCGTAAATAAAGAGATTCAAAATTGAAACTGTCTCCTGAGGAGACAAATATATACTTAATCAAACACTCGACACCAAATCTTAAAGGTTCATTGCTATTGGGAGGATCAAAGTCTCAATGGTTAACATGGCCTGAACTACTCAGATGCCAGTTCAGAGCAGATCACCTCAACAGAGCGGTCAAACTTCTGCACATGTGTGAACGTTGTAATGACTAGGTGGCGTAATTTCAGCCTGTCAGAACCAAGTTGTCTCACATGAGTTACAAAAGAACATACAAGCCAATAAGTCACGGTGTTTAAAAAGCTTCCGAAATTTTTAATATCTGAAGAAAAAGAACGTTACAAAAACAAGATACTTTCCACCTTCAGCGCAAAACTTACCAATTTTTCCATCATCTTGGCGATCTTCTTTCGCTGTGTTAAGTGTGGAAGGTGTAGAAGTAACACATAACAGACCATCAAACCCACACTTTGGTTTTGACAGAGGTATTTTTGCACCATTTGGCCACTGAAAATCTTCCGTGCTCACATTGATCTGAGTGTTCTCTTGATCAAATGTTATTAGTCCTAATTGCGTTGCACTGGGGCCATTACTGCCAGAGAGGCAGTCTGTGTAGTAAAACAAAAAAGTCTAGTAATTTATATCCATCAATATCCACCAGTTCAGAAGCTCCGAAAGGAATTTTGCCCAAATAAGCGCCCGCGATGTCTACTTACTGAAGAAGGCCGAACTGGTCCGCTAAAAAGGCAATTCCGACCGTTGCTGATTTAAATAGATGTAAATAGGGATGAGAAGCTCTTTATAGTTTCTCGGAATATGAAACCTTCATAACGATCACTCAACACTGGTGCAGACAAAGTTGAATGATTTTGGACTTTCAATTATTAATTAGTCAAAAGTGAGTGACGATAACCATGACAGGTCAATTTTTTTTTTGTGGTCAAGAAATTATCCAGAAAACCAGCCAGTCCCTTGTCTTATTCCCATCTGAGGATGTCGACATAATAGGACCAGATCTCTAGGGAGATCTATCATCGACATCAAATATGTTGTGCCACCATATGCCTTCGGTTACGTTAAAAAATGATAGACACTTACCATTTGCGTGAGCAACAGATTTTTTCCAACGAATATCCACAATGCGGAGATTTACAACGTCGGCTGATCCATTCTCGTTAATGAACACGCTGGGACCTAACTTGCCTGTTTCGTTAAAGAAAAAATTCAGTCAATGCTTGGGACCCTTGTCTATCCGTAAAGATTGAGGAAAAGTCAGCTTTCCCGCCATAAGGCTGAAAAGCTCTGGCATACTCCCGGCAAATGAAGTGAATGGGAGTTTGGCTTATACGGCTTAGCCCCCCCTCTCCCCCCTCCGCCTCTACATTGCAACAGGTTTCCCCAACAAAAATCGGAAAGTATGAAGTGAATAGGAGTTTGGCTTATCCCCCAAGGGTGGGATATTAGTCCCCTTCCCCCTCCCTCTGCCTCACCATTGCGACAGGTTTCCGGTTTCCCACAACAAAAGCGTACAGTACGAAGCGAGTGGCAGTTTTTCTTATCCTTTGAGCACGGGATACTAGTCCATGACAGATAACCCCCTCTTCCCTGCCTCTACATTGCGACAGGTTTCCCCAACAAAAGGCAAAAAGTATGAGAGAAAGTTTTGCTTATCCCTTTACGTTGCGACCGGCTCATATATGTCATAAGGTGCGTTTTTACATTAGAGATTTCCAACAGCAGGTTAAAAAATAAACCAAGCATACTCACTCTCGTAAGTAGAGTTTAGTAGGTTGCGAATGACATTTCGTCCTGTTCCATTCTTACCCCTTGCCAAAGTTTTATTCAATGCTTTGGCATATTGATAAACAGCGTCATACAAATAATAGGCGTAAAATGACAGCGGTGCATCTATCTGTAAACACAAAATGTTACAAGAAGCAGTGAATGCAATGGAACTTCTTGGAGCGGGGAGTTTGCCAAATGACCGCCCAACATAAGCCACCAAATTATTGATTGGCGCCACATTGTGTCTTTTTCCCACTCGCCATGAAGACCAGAAGAGTCGCAGTTTGGAGGATTGAGCTGCCATGCACAAAAATATCCGGCTAAATGAAATCAATGATAAAAACACTCCCTCCACATCCTAACGCGCAGAAGTATATGATTAAGTGTGTAAAGTCTGTACACGAAGTAAGCGACCCATCTACTGAGATGTATCCCACTTTCTGTACCAGGAGACCCAAAGACCAGTGTAACTACAACCAAACATATTCTTTGACCCATAAAATTATGCTAAATACAATTCTCTCCCACCATGTCCCCTACCCCCACGCCCCCTAGTTCATTGACTATAAAACTTACCTTAAACCCTGCCTCCTTGATGCTCGCTGTTAAGTTTGTCTTGAAACTGTCATATTTTTCTTTGACTTTCTTTTCAAACGCTTTATACGACTTCTTCTCATCTGGTAATTTACTCTGAACCTCCACCAATACCACCGACTCCAGGGCTTGATAATAATCACATGTTTTGTCTGGATCCAAATCCATAAGCAGATATATTTGTCCTGGCTTGTCCATGTTACGCTTGAACTGTTCAAGTTCAAGTTGTAGCATGACGAATGCATAGTCGCCTTGTGTCATACCCTGATTATACGCGTACTCAAGCGTCTGACGGGCCACTGAATATTCACTCAAGTAAAGTACAACTGCAAGAGAAAGAAAATCAATAGAAACCGAGAAAAACTCAGAACATCAGCCCAGTCGATCATGCTTCTCTAACATTTCGCCTGGCCTCCCCTGACAGTTCCTCGATACCATTTTATAGTCGGGGGTTGGGGTTGCGGGTTGCGGGTTGCGGGTTGCGGGGAGAGCAAAGAAAATTAATTACAAAATAATTACCAGCCTTTTTGGAGATCAGGTAAATTTTATCGTAATAAAACCAAAATTCTTCCACCCAACCCCACCCCCCCCCCCCCCCGTGATAAATATTGACGGGTCCTTAACCATTACCCTTCCAAGATCTCATCAGTAATTCTCGCTATAGTCTGCCATACAATTCTTATGATATTAGTTCGGAGAACTTGGTATTCGATCAACTAATAATCCCCTAAATGATATTTTTCTTTATTCTCATCACTTGTGTACTTGATATTGTAAGGATATTGTGAAGAGAAATTTTGTTGAAAGGGTTAAAGCGAAAGATACTGTATACATACCTCTACATTTGTCCTTCAGTTCTTTGAACATATTTCCCATGTAATCGCTTACATTCGTCACCGATGTGGGTGGATCACAAATACTTAAACGGTTGTTCTTCACATGATTGTAGCATTGATTAGCAAGAAGCTCTCTATCCATAAGCACTTTGATATTGTTAGAATTAAACTCGCGCTCCACGACTTCTTTCATCCTGATATAACTGGTAATGTTTTCATACAATATGGCCACTTCTGACCAGTTGAACTTTTGGAACATTTTAATGAGGCCTCTCGATAGTTTATGCACCTCCACCTGGATAAACGTCTCTGCAAATGTTGCGTAATCTTCCTTTTTAGTCAGCGGATCTCTGCACATCTGCTCGGGAGAAAGGTTACATAGTTAACTTACCCCTCCACTCCCAAAATGCGAAAGCTAAGTTTTCAAAATTTCTTGACTATTCATTTTATGTAACAAAATTTCCCTTCAGTTTTCCCTTAATGATGTAAGTTCATCGATTGTCATTACATTTCTGCTTGACAGTATATTAAGATTGAAAGAAGAATTTTCACATTGATTATCTCAATTTTAAAAGCTTGCTGTTTGTAATCTATAATATTCTCCCCGATCTCAACATTTTGCCAATTTTTTTAAGGACCCTACAAAAAGCTCAGAGTGTAAAGTGGCACGTTTCTCGAAAGTCTCAGTAACTTTGCGGACCCGAAGCCAAATTTTAAAGTCAAAATTTACAGCAAAAGAGCAGCTGGTTCTGTCACCCTAACAAGTATAATTTGTTCCTTTAGCCGATGGTTAATTTGTAGAATTTCAAAACTTTTGAAACCGCTATCTTGAATAAAAACAGAATAGCTTTACGGGCCCGTTAAGTTACCTGGCCCTTCGAACAACGAGCCCAAAGTCACTTAACAAGACTCACGTATGATATCATTGCGACGTCCTGTACGCTGGCATATCTCGCTTCATATTGGCAAGTACATCCAGGACCTATAATGGCGGACACCTTCTTCTCGTGAATCTGATTAGCCATTGCATGCAGAGACGTATCTTCGTTGCACTTGGTATCAGTCCAGATATAAGACAGATGGTGGCCGGAGAGAAGATCAGATGAGTTATTGATGTCATCCACGGCGGTTACAATGGCGGGAGCGAACAGTTTTCCCACGGCAGGAGCATGTGATTCATCATAGGGTAAAAGCAAACCCAGGGTAAAATTATCTCCACATACCGGAGATGTGACGGCAAGAGTGAAAAGAAACAGGTGAAAACATCGAAATAATATCTTCATGGTAATCTGCGGCCTGTTTCTTCGTTGAACGTTTGGAAATTGCTCCAGGCGATAGTATCAGATCAGTTTCTGACGTTCAGTTAAAGTTTCTTTCACGCATGTGTGAGGATATCTTGATGGGAAAGCAGACAGTAGCACACCAGTTACACAATTATACAATCCAAAACATAAGTTATAATTTTACATACACAAAAAAAACAAAAAATCCTACGTCGGTATCATTGGTAGCATTGTCGACTTCGAAAAATTCATGAGCTACACGAAATTAAATTTGTGTTTGTATGCAAAGGATGCATTTCTTTGTCAAACACGAAACCGCAAAATAGCAACAAAATAAACATACGTAAGCCTTACAAGTATTACTTTGGGCGAACTAAGTCATCATCAATCAACGGGGTCAGGCAAGAACAGTCAACAGTGGATGTTATACGATTATTTTTCAAGGGCATGTTCTATTTTCGAAACGAAACGAAACGACTAGACACACAACGAGAAGATAGGAATGTCACGCTATTCTTTCTACAAACACAGAAAGTGACATTTGAATGATAACAAGGCTGTTTCTTAATAAGTCTGATAACGACGGATCATTTTCATTTTTTTCGCAAGCAAAACAAAATATATATTTCACTTTTCTCTATCAACGCAATCGTTCTTAGTCGCAAAAATATTAAAAATAGAAAGGATCCTTGTTTTCCCGAAGATCTAGGCGATGTCGTATCCCATTAACCGTGTAAAAAGTCATTTCAAAAGCTGGCAACAGAAGTATAAGCTGTGTGTAGCACGCTGTAAGTGTCAGTCACTAAGGACCTGTCATCAGCCTAGTGATGGTCATTTTAATGACTTGCTAATAAAATGAGGTACTTGAGAAACAGGAGCAGCTGAGAAAACAAACGTGCGCAAAGAAATGGTGACAAAAACAGATCACTTCTCCAGCGTTTCGTACTCGATGTAAGATGTTTTTCCGGCTTTTTCTACCAAGTGCAATCGACAAGATTATTAGGATTAGCTCTTTCGGGAAGAGCGAATAAGTCCAACGGCTATGGTTCGTACACAGAACTTCACATGACCCGCATCGCATGACTTACACGTTACTTTTGCAAGACTGCACATTTAAACCGGCGTCTGAATCTGTCTGAAGAGTATGGCAGATGCTCGAGCCAATTTTTTTTTTCTCTTTTCTCTTATCAGAATCGCCTCGGCACGCTTTAGATCTCGTCGAGTTCCGCTATGCTCTGCAGACGGGGCGAATCAAGGGACGAATCAAGGCTTTGTCAAACGTAATTCGAGTTGACCAGCCCTCGCATTCAATATCTCCCATGAAGAGTACGCTGGGTGTACTAAATCTTCCACTCACGAGAAATTGAAAGAAAAATAACAACAATTTGAAATTTTCAGGAGGGGAACTTTCCATACCTCTTCCGCCCCCCGCATTTGTCACCTCTTCCTTTTCCACTCCGCAAGATCAAAAAATTCCCACAGCGGTGACTTTTTCAGTCCCGAAAATTCAGATAAGTTTACCTACGTTCAAGAAAAATAAAATTAGAGTCTGTCTCATTTCTCCACACAAGATTAATCCTCAGGATCAGAAAAAACAGGATTAAATTTAGAGTTTTTATTTGATGACTTAGAGTTGTGTTGGAATTTTTCTCACACCAAGCGTAAGCGATTTCCGCCCACTATTCCGGTAAAATATTCACTGTCGAGTAATCACGTTTTGGTTTTCTTGAAACTTTCGCGAGACTTAAGCAATGAATAGTAACCTCTGTCTTTTGAAAGATTATTATTGTCGCTGATCTGTGAAATCCGTTGATCAGAAGTACTTCAAAGTACAAAGGCAGCCCGGCCCCGCCGGTGTATATTCACTATTTTGACAAAAACGAAAGCGAAATTAAATATTAAATTTAGCAAAAGCTTCACCAGATCTCTCTATAATAAGTCTTTGTTTTTTCAAGTTTTCAAGTAAGCAGCTGCTGCTGAGGGGAGACGAGTTGAATATAAAGTTTTGCTGTCGATCTAAATGTACATCATCCTTGTTGTAATATCTTGAGTCGATATATAATGAAATAAGTAGTGGCAAATCCTTCCTGAATGACACCAGAACCCTTATGGATACATCTAACACTCAGCTGAACCATTCACAGCTAAATGTAAATAAATTTATTTATTGACTTGCGTTCTCGACAAAGCTGAGGATATGGTGGCTTATCAGAAATGCCCAAAAGAGTTTTTACAGCGTTAAGTGTTACCATTTAAATAATTTTTTTATGTAGAAAGCGTCTGAATATATTGCGTCATAATCAACCATTTGACCCTGAAAATACAATGTTTTTATGATAACATTTAGTCGAGGTAAAAGTTAAGGGTTTCGATACCGTGAAGATGTCATCAATAACCGTCCGTATGCTGAATTGATTTAACTTCTTAAAAATACGTGATGGTTTATACACTTTCGAAAGTTCACCTTCTCCGTAAACCGATTCTTCATAGGTACAGATAATCAAAACACTTATTTAGACAGCGGAAGTTGTAAATATGTTCTCCGTCACTTTTTGTGTCGAGAATATAAATGATAATATTTAACTTTCGCATGTAATTTCTACTCAACCAAAAAGTCATTTTCACGGTCAAGTTCACAACAAACTTTGTCTGTTTGTCATGAAATCGTCCCGTTTTATTTCTCCACTGAGAAAAAACAACATGTAATAACTTTGTGCCTTCAAATTTTTTTCTTTTATGTTACTGATATCAAAAACTTCGAAAAAATAGCGTATTTATAAATATGACAAAAAAATTTAATCAAGTTACAGGAAGCGGACTGCTTCAAAAGCGTCCTTTTAGACAAATTGTAAGTGATGAATTCCAGCTCATTGAAACACGTTGGCAAAGAGGAAAAAATAAAATACTTGTGAATACATATTTAACTACTTCAAATTCGTTTTAAAATGCTATGAAACCGATCTAAATTTGTCAGGATTGATACAAATATGTTCGAGTGACCGTCGGCGTCGCAAGGATCATAAATTACTTATTACTTATTATTTTCTACGTTTTCGATGTCAAGGTGCGTATTTCAGTTTCGAGCGGTGGTCAGGAGATTGTATAAAGATAAACGCGAACAAATTTACGCTTAAGCTGATGTCAATGATTTCTGTGAAATCCGATTGGAAAAGTTGAAATAATTTGCAGAAGAAGCCAGTTTGTGATATCGATCAGTCAGATTAAACTGTGCATGAAAGTTAATATGCACGCATGTGAAACTATAAATAAGACTCACAATGACGGATGTTTTTAGTTGCGAGAACAACCCGCATGGACATCGCTCTGGAGATTAGACTTCTGTCCTTAGGCTATTATCAATCGAAATCTTATCGTATAGGTGAGCTGGAACGACCGCGTTGATGAAAGAAACCACTAGCAGGATAAATCTTCGATGCGACTTAGCACATTTTAACTTCTCTTCAATCACATCTCGTTACGCTTACAAAAACCTGTTTTCAAAGGGAGGTAATAACATTTTATAAAAATATAGCTGATTTGTCACCAAGAAAGCGAAATAAATAAAAACAACGCTCAAGAAAACAAAACAAAGTTATTCCGTTCTGCAAATTGGCCAATATTGACCGCTGGCGGCGAATACTATAAAGAATGTTGCGTTAGGGTACAAGAAACGCAAAATTTCATTCACAAATAAACATGTCTTAAACTTACCTTCATTCTAGAAGCCTTCCATTTGTTTGAGATGAAACGCTTCCCTGTTAAAGCAACTTTCAAGGGGATAATAGCAAATTAGGTGTGCACATGTTTAACAATCGATTTGCGTTTGCCCTCACGGACCCTGCCGTTCCTACGCATGCAATCGAGGCTGTCACAATCGTGACCTGAACCGTGAACTGAAGGGTGCAGTATAAAATTACGCGATTTAAGTGACAATTATTGGTGTGTCCAAGAGCATATCACGCAATGCGTGGGCTACAATACGGGTTTCAATCGAGGGTCAGTCACTCGAGGGGAAGTTTTGTTTGTTTAAATACTAAAAATAAAACTGACAGCATACACAAATACGTGAAAAATGTGCTTTCAAAATGAATTTCAAGGGAGTTTTTTTAATCGCTAACATTATAAGTAACATTATATAAGAAATTACAAAAAGGTACGATATATTGAAAAAGAACAGAAAATCATACAAAAGTGAAAATAAATTTTGGATAAGTGTGCTTTCGCGTCCTAGTCAAAAGTCTTTAAAAAAAATAATGACCTCAAAATAATTGAAAGTTCGTGATCTTAAAAGATATCTTAAACCAGAAAACGTTTTTATCGTGAAATTGAACTTGAACCAAGGGTCCATTACTTGAACCTTGGATTGTTCTTCCATTTGTCAGGAAACAAAGATGGTCAGAAGTAAAAGAACGTGAAGGAATTGCGTCTTAACTTGAAAAAAAAAAAAAAAAAAAAAAAAAAAACATTGTTGTACCTGGAAAGAATCCTGATCTTTCCGGAGTTTAGCTATTCTTGTGATAATTTTTTTTTTGTTTTGTTTGTTTTGTTTTATTTTAAGCATGCGCTAATGTATTGCACAATCCGACAACACCAAAATGTGTCGGAGTACCCAAGGACCGGTCGCTATTTATCCCCTGGGGAGGCGGGAGGGGGCGGTTGAAGTATTTTCCTTCCGTCACGATACAATTTACCCAAGCTCTGAAAAAGGATCTGTAATGTTCCTATTGTCCTCCTTTTGATCTCCTCAATTCAAGGTGCTTTAAGAAAATTCTCTTCACAAACCTAACCAAAAATGTATTTGCATGACCATGAAAAACAGCGAAAATGTTTTTTACTCAATATTAGCATATTAATGAGCGTTGAACCTTCATGCACAATAATTTATGTAAACATGTTTTAACATTGCGAAGTCGAAATTTGATTCCGTCAACACGAATTAAACAGTTTTATTGAAGATCGCCTGAAAATTTTATGTTCTACGAATTAGACAGTTTGAAGATCGCGTGAAAATTCTATACCAGGGTGACAGTGCAAGTTGCACGACGCAAAAAAGTTTTGTCATGATAATTGATTGAGTCTGAAAAACGATTTTATTTTTTTAACCCTAATGCGACAGGCCTCTGTGCCTTTCTGTCAAGTCATAACTTTACCTTGAAATTCAAGGAGAAGACTCAACAACTGCCATCCCTTTTTGGCTGCTTTCTTAATTTCTCTAGCATTCACGCATCTGGCCCCCGCTCTGACTGTTTCGTCAATCGAGCGAAAAAAAAAGTTTTAAGTCATTTAAAAGAGACAGGGAAAGAGTGAAGGAGTGAACCTGCCAGGATCAAAAATATTGTTTCTGAAATGGAACACTGCTGCAGACTGGATACCGTTTTATATGAAGCATCAATTAAAATACCCTTTGAATAAAGCAAAAAAACTTGAAATTATTATTTTGTGGCGTAGTCAAACCTCGACAAGCTAATGATAATAATCCGAAAAGGAACCAATATGGCGAGAGATGACAAACATTAACACGGATTTCAAAGGACGCAATCCAAACAAGGACAGAGTTTGTCGGAAAAAGCGTCATGTAGGTTTTTAAAAAATTGATCGGGGTTTGGAGAAACAGAGCAAAAGGGCAGGAAACCGCAGATTGATTCTCAATGATACGAAAATAGAGTATCTGATCAATCGGTTAAATTTAAAGTCGAGGACACTCGACTCAGTAATTTCCTCAATTTTGTGGTTTGGCCGCGATTGAATTCTCATCTAATGTTGAAACCACAAAATGTACTTGATGAATGCAAGTTCCTCGTATTGACCAGTCACGTGCTCAGAATGAAGATTGTGCTCCTCGCAGTGCAATAATTCGTCAAAGCACAGGAGTAAAAGAAAACCGGACGAGAAAACCATTCTGAATTTAACTCCTGTGACACAGCTTTAGCATTACTGGCACAAAGCCAAACCATCAGCAAACAGGAACTGTCAGTGTCTAGCCTGATTACAAAATTGATTCTAATTTGGACCCAGTTCCGTGAGCCTTCGGCTGAACCGGTTGGCTGAGCTGATCGTTTTTCCTGCATTAAAGTTTGTGAATCTGTAAAAATTTTAACTTAAACTTTTCAGTTTGTTATTTGAAATATCTGTAAACCTTTTTCCAAACCCAATTATCTTTGTCCCTTTCACTATTATTCACTATTAAACAAGATTATGATTAGGATTGTGAGGTAAGATCCTTCGTGTTGAAGGAAATTATGCAGGCCAAACGATTTTTGTTTTTACACATTTTCAAGTTACTTCTTACAGAGCTATCACTAAAACAGCTTCCCTCGATTTACCGATTGCGATTACATAACAAACAAAAGACCCAAGCCGGATGGAATCGGGAACGCAGAATAACTATACAGCGACCTGGTCAACCAAACAAGTCCGTTTTTCATGCAACTTAGGCCGCCGAACAACTTGTTTTCCCCAACCAACCAAGCTCTATAACAGAACCCTCAAGAGATCGTAAATTGTTCCATCTCTCCATTCAGGATCAATTATTCACAGCCAAATTTCGCCAGCTCGTTCGCTCTATCGTCTACATTTCTTTTGCTGACTTCTCTTGGCAAAATATTCTCGGCCTAATTTCCAGTGTACCTCTTTTCCCCCTTTCTTCCCCTTTCAAATCCCGTGCTGATTATTTAAGCCTTGCAATTTCATAATTTACCTGAATTAATTTCTTTCTCTTGGTTGCTATGTTGGGCAGTTAGCTCGATAGCACGGAACCCCGTCAGTCAAATGCATTTACAAATACATCTCACATATAACTCGTGGAACACGGATCAATCGTGAACATACAATACAACACATCAGTAAAAATATGCGTGTGGTAAAAAATATCAGTACCTCCTTTAATTACAATTTATACAAATACTGGATGTTTCATAACTTATGACAAGCTAATTTTCTTTCTTAATAAATACAAGATTGTATGCAACGTGTTTCATCATTTAAAATACCGCAAACACTTAGCTCTTACTAATGGTTTTGATGTGAGCTTATGCACAACTAATTATGTAAGTCGTTTAAAATTACCGGATAAATTTATCGCACCGCAAAGCTAGCGTGAACAGTAAAAAAAGTAATCATGTTCGCTGTGCGATAGTCTGAAAACAACTTTGTAGTAATCATTCAGGATTTTGTGAAGTTTTTGGGAATTAAGTGTAAAACTCCCTTTTTTAACTATTTCTGAAGGTAACTCTTACTTTAAAAAAGTATAGTCGATAAAAGAGCTAAATTAGGATTGTTAAAAACACCAGAGACGAACAGACTGCAAACAACGAAATTTTAAGTGGTAAAAAAAAATTAATACAACGGATGTATCTCTACTGTGGTCGCTCAGTTGAAATATTAACGATTTAAAAGGTGCTAAGGTCATAATAACTGATAGCAATTATTCCACAGAGATAAGGAAGCGTCATTTAAATGAGTTATGGCTTTATGTGCGAACCCAAGGCGCCAATGTATTTCCCCAGCTATCAATTTTGATAAGATTCCACCAAGAAAGATGGCAGTTATTATTTCATTTACCACCTAAATTTCTTTTATTCTACGCATTTTGTTTCGCGTTAAATTCCGCCTGGATTTTAAAATAAAACAAAACGCAACGTTTGATTTAAAGTAGGAAGAAAAACAACACTAAAGCTTAGGAAATTTATTGTAAGACATCTGACTTCTAGAAAAAAAATAAGCAAGATATGATATATCATCGAGAAAAATTCAAGGGAAAGAAAATCGAAAGCATTGGCATAATGGAATTTCGGTTTACACAATATGTTCCTAGTTAAATAAGATATCTCTCATTCTCGACCCTGATACATTAAAAGCTTATTTTTCCCATATCAAACATAACTGTAATGGAGCGATTCAAAAGAATTTTGCCTTGCCGCGGCGGTTTGTGACAGTATGGAATTCAAGTGCGACCAGTTTTAACTTCAATTGTGATCAATCACTTACCAAATCCTTCTTTTTCCTTAGATCTATGGCAGCTTAAACGTGATTAGTAGCGGAACCAAACCTATACCAAACGTTCCCTTTGAAAAATGTTAATTTGCTTACTGTCACAGCTGTTCACCTTTTCCATAAATTTGAATTGACTAAGAGAAAAAGAGTATCTTAAACATATCTTTTAATATGTATTTTTTATGCGTGTATCGACGAGACTCTGATGAACGGTAAACATTAGCCGATCCTTGATGACTGAGTATAATAAGAATTTTCTCGAATGATATAAGGATCCCGAAGAGAAAAAAAAACACACAGAGCATTTTGAATTTTTCCCAGTTGTTTCCGTCGTTTGATGTGTAGCATGAAGCATACAGCAGTCACCCTCATGCCTAGAGTAATCTCGATTATTTTAAAATATCAGTTTACCACAATTTCATTTTGATGGTAGCAATCTTAAGTGTATATGTCATGTCCGTGACATCTGAGCCGAATAAAGTACATGTCGGCTTTTTACATGTTGAATGTTTTCAAGGAAATTGTCACTTGTAATAAATATTTCTCTCTTTCGCAAATGGCCATGTGTAGCGCCATTTAGAGATACATGAATTAGTCCATTCCAGCATCGCTTCCAGACATCCTGAGCCGCCTACCAAACAAATATATATTATCTTACTTACTAAGTTCCGCCTTGAACATCCTGTAAATATAATTAATGAACTGACAAGCAGAGGACTGCGTCGGCAAATCGTTGCAAAGACCGTGAGAGACTATCTGCAAATTGTCGTTGATGAAAGCTCATGATGTTATTGGCGGCAGCTGGACGCAACGCTTGGGCGAAGGAGACGGTTTGATAGAGGGGAGTGTTCCGTTTTTAGACTGCTTTGCAAGTTTTGGCAGTAAATCCTTCACTAATTTCCAGCCGTTTTTTTCATCCTGTTTGTGTACCAGCGGCGCCGTATGCTTTTCTTTATTCAGTCCATGATGATGCGTTCTCAATGGCGTAGCAGATCCTTCGAGCCAGAATGTTGTCCACGTACCTTTACCCTAAAAGGATAAGGAATCATTTGTGAAGGGTTCCCATCAAACCACAGGAGCCTCACAGAGTGGAGTGACTGTTTGAATGGTACGTTTTTAAGTTGTGAAAAAAAAAGGAACGAGAATGAAAAGATAAAAAACCTAGAGGACCCTTCGTTTTAGTTCCCAACTTCCCTCCACACTGATAAGATTTCTTTTATCTGCGACGAAAACCATCTAGTCCTATTCACATATTAATGATTTAAGTGCAATTCGTATTCTCGCCGGTTTTCGGGAAAATAGCATACAAAAGTATTGTTAATCTTCATTTTTTCGTGATTCTTTCACCATTTCCTTAAGAAGTAGCCTTAAGATCACGTACGCAATGTAGCTATTTCGACGATGACAAATTTTTTCCTTCTTCCGTAACAAACTTCCTCCCGTAAAAACTGGAAAGCCATTTTTGGGCGAGGAGATGGTCAAGACATAAATTGTAATATTTTTCCGACTACTACGTCAAACAAATAATGAAGGACACACACTCAAACTCATTTGCACCAACCCCGCATAGGTTGCTTAGAAACTGCTCAACCCCTCATCTGACCCCAGCCCTGTTGCACGCAAAAAGAATCATTCAGTAACACAATAACTAAAAAAAAGTGTTTTCGAACATCGCATGACTAAGCGCGCGAAGTGATGTGAATGAAAAGAGGTAAAATCATTTGCAGGAATTGAATTTAGAAAACACAGGAACACATCAAACAGATTAACCTGAGGGACATCACAGGAGAAATTGTACAGCCGGAAAGATTAAGGCAACTATAAAAAGACACGACGTATCGGGGGAAGAGGAAGAAGGTATAAGAACTGAAGGAACTGCAAAACCTACCGCCCACCACAATACATGTATTTACACTAAGGAAGACGTATTACTATGAATTATGAAATCAATATTTAGAACATGACCCAGCGGAAGTGACCAATTAAGGGGAAGGCCCTCATTCAGAGAAATTCGGTATTTAGAAAGGCCTTGTATTGTAACTGTTTGTTAGAGTCACATTAGATTTTGCGAGAAGATTGACGTATAGCTACCTTTAAAAATACTTCTCCTCTCCTTTCAATGTGATAACCACCAAGAGATTCCAGAAGATTCTTGGCGTCCGGACTGATATGAATCTTAAGAGCTGAAAGCAATTTGTTTTCATATTACTAAGTAAACCGAAAAGATACCCGAGCCATCAGGTCAGGCCATGAGGCATTCAAATTACAAACAAAAGCTGGCAAACCGCGAGCTCAAAATAAGGGCAAACACGCCGCTAGTAGCGGAATGCGAGGAGCCTGAAACCAGAGAGGAGGGCTACGAACCTTAAGAAGTGCAAAACGTATTGAAAAAAACTGAATTGAAAGGCCTTCATCCAGTAAAAATCACGGATTTCGACATGACAGTTTAGTTAGATAGTCTGGGTCTGACACCATGCGACTTCCAGACTATATTCAAAATTCTAGCTTCTCCCCTAACTTCTCACCAGAAACGCCTTTTTGCAGTATGATACATGGGACTTCCATAAAACGGCAGTTGAAAAAGACGAGTTTTTCGTTCCACAATATTGCTCCAGAAAAGGTTAACTGTCGCCTTGATTCCGTGTGCTCGACTCTCCTTCCTTACATCCAGACAAATAAATAGATAAGGCATTGACAAAGCCAACAAAATTATTCCTGCATGGACTAAGCGTTACAGGACTTCATTTACCATCCCTAAAATGATGAATATACCCACCTTCTCCATTGGATTCCATTCTAGAGGCAGTGTTCACTGTATCACCAAACAAACAGTAACGAGGCATAGTGTTACCGACCACACCCGCAACAACAGGTCCTGATCAGAAAAATTGATGGTTCAGACTTACGATTATCTACCGTTTGTAATATTATTATTCGAATTAACCGGATTAATAAACTTGGATAGCGTTATTTTTTAATTCTGCTGTTGCTGAGCTGGTGAAAAGTTAAAAGTATAAAATACGTCAAATGGCATCTTCAAGTTTAACCCATTCACTCCCAAGATCTCATCAGTAATTTTCCTTACTCTCAGCCACACAATTCTTATCATGTTAGTTTGGAGAATTTGGTATTGGATCAACTTGTAGTCCTCTGATTGAGTTTTATTCTTTATTCTCCTCACTTGTCTGTTTGATATTGCATTGATATTGTAAGAAGAATTTCTCTCTTCGTCATGGGAGTTAAAGGGTTAACTTTCTTTTTTTTCAAATTAAGCGAAAACCAGCAAGGGTCCTTTGGTTGGTCAAAAGGAGGGATAATTTATAACTTCAGTTTTAAAAATTCGCCTAGGTAGTTCATTTAACTGTAAGTTGAATATTCATAACTTTTGCTATGAGTCATGGGTTTCACCCAAGTGTTTGGCATTGAAGAGGTTTTCTTTATTCACTCCGCCCAAAGCAGGTTAATTTTGTTTTCCACTAAGAATTCTTTCCGACGTGTGTGCGTCTGGATCCAGTTTGTTCAAAGTGCGGATATCCATCGGATAAATCGCTATCCAGTGGATAAGTGTTAACAAAACATACTGTTAACAATACATACTTCGATCAACCGGTGCACAAAGTTATGTTGAAATCGCGATAGAGAGGTAAGTTCTTAGAGCAAAGCGTTTTTTTAAGAACAAACTTTAATTCAAAATTTGACGGATTTTCTCTTACCACTGTGAATTCCTATCCTGAGCTTTAACTGTTCACGAGGCCTGTGATGTATTTTAAAATTATATATCTCTTTACGCATGTGCAGAGCCATGCTTGCTATTTCCCCGGCGTGTTGATGACCATTCCGGATTGGCAGTCCTGAAACTACCATATAAGCGTCACCAATTGTCTCCACCTGAGCATGAACGAGAAAAGAAGACGAATGCAAGATTAACGTGGCATATTTGGAGCAGCTGAGCTCAGTTTATTTCCAATTTTAACTGCCACCCAAAGTTTTATTCCCATAGTATCGTCATAGGAATACTAACGCAGCTGCTGATGAAAAGAAAGATATTCAATGTCTTTTCATCTTGGAGAACTATGGCGAAGTTTATCAAGTTCGCCCGTTCTCTCCATTCTTGGTCATTCTAAATCCATCTCAGTGCCCTTTTATCTCGTAAATGATGTTGCTTTTTTCCACGTTAATATCGGTAGGTAGGCCGGTTTTGAACAACTTGGTCCTCTTTTTTTAGTAAATGGGCAGTACTCGATAATCAAGAACCAATGAACATCATGTAATGCGAAGCTTATTTTATACCCACCTTATATACGTCGTAATTACTGATGATGTCATCAAACAAAGTATACAAATCATTTAAAAGTTCCACAACCTGAAAAATGATCAAAAAGAGACGAAATGAAATAATTTCGGCAAATTTCAAGAAATCAGCTTCAAACAATATTTGTGTCAATGAAACAATTTAGACTGGCTTTCAAAATCATTAGAAAGGCAAATTCACAACGGGAAACCAAATCTGCCTTTATTCGCTACATAAGCGCCTTATTATAGATATATAAATCAAACCAAGTGTAACGGAGGAACCGAAGTCATCTGTGTTGCTGGCCCTCACTTGATTCGAACGTACACCAGAATAGCAATGTTCTTTTCAAATAGGCCTGCCGATCATTACAGTTATTTCCTTAGATAATGGCTCCGCTGCAGATCCGCTATTACCTAGGAGATCTGCCTATAAAGCTGAATCCTAACATTTTTTTTTTTTTGCATCATTCTAAACATCATCGTAAATCGTGGTCGCTGTATACATAATGTAAGGAAAAGTTGAACCATGAGCGCATGAAACTTGCTCTGAACATGCTCATAAAATCCTAATACAATCACGATAACTATGTACATAATCCTAAAAAGCATTTCTATTGCCATACCTGGAAAGGGGTGCTCTCCGAAGATAACGACGTAAAACCGACGATATCGCTAAAGAAAATCGATACTTCATCGAATTTTTCCGGCACTATGGTCTTTCCATTAACAAGGTCACGTGCGACAGGTCTGCGAATAAAAGTTGTTGAAAGTTTGCTGAAAGAAACTTTTTTAAAAGTCTTAAAATTGTAGATAGATGGAATGAACTGCCTATGGACACTCGCTTTGAAACTAAAAAAAGAGCATTTAGGTCGAAAGCCAGAAAAACATTATTTTTACAGTCTTATTTAAGTGTAGAAATGAGGGCATGCTTTATTGTTATAATCTATATGGGGTCAAGGACTACTTAACAGATCTTCCACATGGCCTGTTTTATTTTATTGTTTATCTTTATTCTTTACTTTTGTAGAGTAGCTAGTAGCCATTAAATCGTTATAAAAATTTTTAAAAAAATTCAAAAAAGCTTATCATGGATTACGAAGCGAATGAACGTGTCACTACTTCCTTCCCTTCCCTACAAACACTCCATCACCAACCAAAGAGTATTTTCAGCAACCCCCGGCTCCTTGAGTGAAAGTCACAGTTCAGGAACACAGAGAGGAATAGCTAATTCCGCCCAAAACGTTAAAACGAAGAACATGGCAGATAGAAGATGAGCGGTTCCTTTCAATCCTAAGACCGCCTAAATAACTCAATACACCTCTATTATCTGGAATTATTATAAAGAGATGACTTCTCTTCGCAGACGCGGTGTCCGGTTACAACCTTGTACTGGCCGCTTGTTATTTTCATCATCTATCGTGAATTTATACCTGTTACGTGGATACTTACGGAGGAAGCATTCTGTGCAGGAGATTCTCAGTTTTTCGTTTTTCATCGGCCAGCTGCGATGTTCTTTCCTCCACTAAGCTTTCCAAGTTGTTTGCATATTTTTCCAACATGTTCACCATGTTATCCATTATGTTTGTTTGCCTAAAACGATTTCAATTTATTATATTTAGTATGAAATATTACTTATAGTAAGATCCTATATAATTAGACCATTTTTCATTCTGGAGCCTAAAGTGGCCTTAAAAGTATTTTCCTTAGAAGCCGTTCTATGGAATGCTACACGGCAATTCCCCCAAAAGAAGTCTTGTGCGACGTCCCAAAGTACGCCCGCGATCGAGACAAACATTTTTCCAAGTTCGACGCACTAAATATGTGATACTATAGGCATAGACATAGATTGTTCGAAAAAAGGGAGCAACGCCAAGACATTATAAACAGTCTATAATCTCTTGATAACACTAAGCCTCCAATCACAATTATAAAGGGACCTTGGGAAAATCAAATTCTACGACACCGGCTGAGGCTGAACATACCTTCCAACAGACATTTTTCGGATTTGTCTCTTCAAATCTTCAAATTCAGGTCTGGCTTCGGGTTGTTCGTTCCAGCATTTTTCCGTCATTTGTATCAAACCAGGGACTTCGCATTCCTTCCCAATGTTACTGAGCTTCGGACGAAAAGGTGGGTTCTCATGTATCATGACTCTCTGGATAATTTCTGTGAATCAGAAAAACATATTTCTTGCAAACTGATAAATGAGACTATCCGTTGCGCTTTCGCAGTGCTTCATGGTGTTTAATCAACAGTTCAGCAACGCAAACTCTATAGTTGACATGCTAATCAGTGTCGTTAAGCGCAAGTAACACGGTAGTCCGTCTCAGACTATCGTTTCTTAAAGTGAGCGAAAATCGGCAGGGTCTTGGAAAGAAGTGATGTTGCTCTTCCCCGTTCTCCGACATTTATCCTCTTGATCATTTCCTTACTCGCTCGTTCCGACAAAGAAGGTTCCCACTTAAATCTACTTCATGTAAAATTATTTCTTTTCAGAAATTAAGTACTCTTGTATCAGTAAGTGTTGTTGCAGTTATTCCACAGAAATTTGACAAAGTCTGTTTAAAAATCGCTAACTTTGAAATTATCTACTGAAATCTCGTAGACAGTTATTTCCAGCGTTTTCCCCCGATTGGCAACGTTTATCATGGGAAAATAGAAAACACGGAGACGAAAGCTTCCTAGTTCTAACAAATCAGTATAAAGCAAATTCTAATAAGGGAAAGAGGACTAAGTTAATCAAACAAGGCAAGAGTTGATTACCTTTTGGTTCAATGTGATAATAAGACATATCAAAAGGCCCTGAACGAGTCAGCAGCTCCTGACAAATGATAGCGAAGCTGTACACATCTCCTTTTTGAGTGCCTCTACCGTGTTGACCTTTGCCCGCACGCAGAAGTTCAGGTGCAGTCCACATCAAACCTAAAGGAGCAACAGTACGTTGGGCTGATGAGAATCTGCTAAGAGTAGCTCACCTTGTTTATTTCGCATTGAAAATTTTAAATCGAAAGGTCCTAGTTCGAAGAATAGCGGGAACAATGTCTTGTGTACAAGGACAAAGACACTTTTCTCTCGCAGTGTCCCTCTGACCTTGGAGCGTAAAAGAGCACATTTACCAACACATTGTCAGGGGAGCCTGATCAAAGTCCTATCCAGGCGGAGTACAATTTATCCAGCCGCTTAGTTATATCAAACCAGAATAAGCGAATAATCAGAATAAGCAGCGGCGTGGGAAAGAGAATGGAGCATATTTGAAAAAACATGCTCCAGACCCAACCACCAAAGTCGGTGAGAATGTTCGCCCAATGGCAACTTTCGACCGCGTTAGCCTGAGAAGAATTGAAATTTTTTGAGTGATATATGCTTAGGCGAGGAAATTAACCTCACACGAATAACGACTCTGCCAGATACTCGGGCTAAACGAAGGACATCATCTCTTATTCTATTTACAAACATTTCATAACCCTTTTGAAATTGGGGGAAGAACATTCTTTTTATTGACATGATACTAGTTCAGTATTATCTGAGTGTTGGTTATCGGCCTCGAAGATGCAACAAGCCTCAGGCGAAGGAATGCATGAATTAGCCTTAAGAGTTAACAGAAACAATAAACGTACGGTAGAACTTTGCGTAATCTCCTTCAGCTCTTTCAGCTTGATTTGCCTTGAACTTTGTGAGCCCATAATCAGTAATCTTCAGGACCCAGCGGCCATCCACTACACAGTTTGACGACTTCAGATCCCCGTGTGACTTTATGTCTGTGCTGTGCAAATAAGCCATTCCCTATGACAAGAAACAGGTCGTTTAGATGAAGAACCTCTGACAAATATTTAAAAGATTTGACGAAGTTTTTCCTTTGGAAGAAGCGTTAATTTCTAACCCGTAGATTTAGTCTTTCATTTTCAGTCTGCAAACGATGGAGTTTGTTTACCCTGGAAAAGTTTCTAACTCGCGAAACCTACTCAAAACTTCATGGCAGTACTCCTATAACCACGTGACCAGATATGATTACCTTCACAACGTCTGTCACCAATGACGTCACAAACATGGTGTCCAGTTTCACGTCTTCGTTTTCAAGAATGTCCTAAAAGAAATTTACAGCTATTAAAACCCTCTTTTTTAGTACAATACAACAGTTATACGGATCTCTGTTTCTATCCTGAAGTTATATTAGTTATATAAATAACGTCTCTACGCTCTCGAGAGCTCCGAGTTATAACTTTCAACAGATAAGCGCACCCTCCAGGAGGAGGGAAACTTGGATGAACAGCTGAAATATTTGAACACTAACGTTCGTTAAACTTAAACAAGGCTACCGTAGTTTACCTGTAAGCTTCCTTTTGGTCCATACTGGAACAAGATGCAGATGTTGGGGGTGTCTACGCATGCGCCCATGAACTGTGCCAAATTGTCATGATGGACATCGCGCATCTGTAGTATGATTAGTTTAGTATGACAGTTGCGTCTCTCCTAAGAACTACTGATAATGTCAAACTGAGTGAAGGGGTCAAAAAGAATTGTGTTAAATTCAATCCGGGATTGAAATTATCTCACGTTCATTTGCTTAGCTTGTGATTGCCCTTGAGACTCAACCAATGCAATGCAAAACTAAAGAAACGCACTCTGAGTGCAAATGCGTGATATGAATATCCAGAAAATGCCTAGCAATTTGTAAAGACTTACGTGTGTCTAGAGCACAGTCCAAGTTGTCAAAATTAATTAAACAATTGTGCTCTAAATGTTTGAGATACTCAAACCTCTTTGGTTACTTCTCTGTAACTCTCACCTGCTTGAGCTCCATTCTGATCTCCCTGTTCAGTTCCAAGTTTTTCTTGCTGACTTTCTTTATAGCGACTGTATTGCCCTGATGATAAAAATACTTTGTCGAGTTGTTTACAGCATTAGAACTTTCTTCGAATTACTCTTAACTAACAAAGATGTCTTTCTACCCTTGGGCGCTGGTCAAAAATTTGAACTACCAATCTACAGAGTAATAACTCACCCTCCAAGAGCCGACGAGTGTGAAGAGTTGGCGTTGATTGAGGTTATCAAAGCTCTCAGTGGAAATCAAGCTAACCTAGAAATGTGTGAAGTTCAGGAAACGAGTCAGTTGGGCACTTAAAAGCCTGTCTGTCTGACCAACTGACTGACTGACTGACTGACTGATTCAGTGACTGACGGACTGACTGAGCGACTGGCTGACTGACGGACTGACTGACTGAGGGACTGACTGACTAGCTAATCTGACTGACTGGCGACTGATTGAATGACTCTGTTGACTGAATATGACTGACCACTCACAACTTATTGGCTGACTGACGGACAGTGACTCACTCACTCACTCACTCACTAATCGACATAAGATCGACCGAGCGACCTGTTTATGATCGCCTGACTGGTCTACCGACCGCTAGACCTGTGTTTTACCTGGCTGCGTAGAGATCCTGGTTGTCTCGTTCTTAGAGAAATTTCCTGATAGCTCACTCGCCAAGAATTGCTCGCGAGTTCTTTCTCAAGTTTCTGTTTTCTGTGGGACAAATAATTATAAAATCAAAACGTTTTCATTCGTTCCATCACAGAACCTCAATAAAAATCAACCACAAAAAAATTAATGCACCTACCGAGTATGATTACAAAATGATAAAGAAACAACCTTACTATACCTGTAAATGATGGCTCCAGCAATCAGAATGACTACCACCATGACACCAAGACAAATGGAAACTATCTCCGCCACCGCTGTAAAAAAATAAAAATTTACTTTATTATGAACTCTCTTGAACTTGCAAAATAAAAATACTCACTGCAATGGGGGCAAGAGGTACGTTCGTACAAGGGTACGTTCAACATTTAACAAATAGATTCCGTGTTACAGTGTGTATGTTCAGTAATAGATCACGGATGACGTCAAACTGTGGTAAGAACAACAAAGGGACCAACGAGGCGCAGCCGTTTGTGTCACTGATGTTCTCACCACATTTTGGCGTCTTTTGTGATTTATTACTAAACAGACCCACGGCAACATGGAATCTATTTGTTTCATGTGATAAATAGAGAATAATATATGGACACGCCTAGATATGGAATTTCTCTTCGAGTTGACCACAAGATTAGAAATTTCATATCTACAAGCAACCATGTATTATTTTGTTTACCATATAGGCCCAAAGCCTTTTACCGACGAGAGAAGTCGACTTTATTAATGAATGAAAACGAAAGGATCGACATTCCGAATAAAGCGCGTTTGCGCGCTCAAGATGGACATATGCGTTGAATCACGACAAATACGAACAATGGGCCTAATTTTCAATGTGCAAGATTCTCAGTTGTTGACTCATTCCTTCCCGACCAAAGAAATCTTTCACGTACACGTCAACATCCGCCTGTGGTAAATCTAATTCCAGTTGTCGATTTTCGTTCTCAGTGGCGAGAAATACCATTAGCAAGGTCTTTCGGTTTTTCTTTTCGTATTTTGGTTTTCTTCTACTTCTAGCAAAAGTTTGAACGTCACTGTCTGTAATTAAGCGATACGGATTATTTATTTTTTTTAGCAGCCATAATCTGAAAAAATTCTGACAAACGACCTTGGATTGAGAATGGTGAAGGCTTTGCCGGTCGTTCAGTAACTTGACTGAGTGTCGTGGGTGAGGTGTCAGCAGCTGATTGGCGATATCAAACACACGTGAAAAAATACCGCATTTTTTCAAGTGTGTAGTTACGGCTTTTCTCAGGGCTGGAAATCCTTGCATAACACCGTAGTTTATATGATAAAAATAGACAGTTTTGTTAATGGTAAAGCCATCTATGCGTTTTACTTCTCTGCATAATAGTTGTAACTTACATAGCTTTTTTTTCACCTCCACGGGACATTTCTCATTTTCAAAACCACATTCTGGAGCATCAACAGGAGCTTTGCCATTGATCCACGAAATGGTGGCGTTCGGATACAGGTCGAAAGAAATTGTGTTGTTTTTATCATCCTCTACTTTAAACATTCCTCTGTTTTCAAAACTTGGCTCTTCTAAATAATGAAAGAAACAACACGTCCACAAGTAAAATACAGTTTAAGACAAAAGCTCGTCTTGGTTCCAGACGATTTTGTCAAATACTTAAACCGAAGCAAATAATTTAGCAGCTTTCCGATAATTTCTCCATTTACTTCTTCGAACGATTGAGGTTTCTATGAATTGAAACCGTCGACACTCGAGCCCCTAATAAGAGGTTAAATAGTTCGTTTTTCTGTTTGCAGTGTGTAAAATGTGTATCTCAAGGCAGACGTTTCTTCATGATTGCAATCTTTGGGCAAACTTGCTCCACTTTTGGCCAATCAACGAAACGCAAGAGAGCGCCAGCATCATGCGAAAGAGATGGTTGGCTTAAGCGCCCTGGCTTTTTCAGCGAAATGGAAGGAGTGAAATAGCTCGGACATATTTCATGGGAGCTGAAAAGTTTAAGCGAAAGAGGGTCTATCATACCGTAGTTTTCATTGAAGTCCATTACTGTGAGATTGTGTTGCACATCTCCGTTTTTATCCAGAAATATATCATAGCCAAGAATGCCTGAAAGGAAAAAAACGCTTGTGCGTGAACTTGTGAGACAGTTATCAAATAATTGTGAGCTGGTAACGTTGCTATTGGAGTGGTTAAAATTGACAGAAAAAGGTTAACTGCTTTTAAAGAAATGTAAAGGGTTATAGAGCTCTTATGCTTATCAACGTCTAGTGATCAAAACATTGAATGTTGGGCTCTAGTTTGTCTTAATTGTCGTCGTCTGAGAATACGTCGTAATCGTGTTAGCTCCTGGAGTTGTCGTCGTTGCAATTTTCGTCATTAAGGTCTTTGTATCTTTTGCCCTCGTAACTCTTTGTCGCTCGAGTCGTCGTTGTTGTATTAGTCGTCATCAGTATAGCCGACGTCATTGTATCTGTCTTCGTTACAATCCATATGGTTGTCGCGCAAATCTTCGTTTTAGTATTTATCTCTATCATTTACGTCGTCCGGAGTAATGTTCGCCGAAGTTCGTCGCATTTGTAAATCCATGCAGCTAGCTGTAGGAAGGTTCAACGTAGCCCGACCAACTAAACATGGTTGGTTGCACGGCAGTCCAAAATAAATCTAGTCATTTCTGCTTGGTCCTACTTACTGGAATATGATTTGCCATATAGAACACTCATCACTGCTTTACCATCAGTAGCGTTCTTTCTTTCAGAAATTGTCTTATTAACTCCAATCGCATACAGATACGTCGCGTCGTAAAGGTAAGCCGTCTGTATAGGGGCCTGATAAATGGAAAACAACAAATAGATTAGAGACGTGTCACTGTAAAAGTCCTCTTTACGATTAACTAAAGAATTTACTCTGGTTTATTGATCTGTCCTGAGAAGCTGGAGATCTGGTTTATGATCATCAGATAGTAAATGTAAAATGCTTGGACTGTCAAGCGTAGCCAGACAACAGAGTGCTGTAATAGATGAAAAAAATAAAGGTTTAATTTGCGCCCACTGGTGGATCCAGTAATTTTGGACAGGGGAAATGCAAATGTTCACGCCGAAAACACAAATCCTTTAACGCTGTTCCTTTAATATCTGGAACTGTTCAACTGCTCACTTGTTGACTTTATGACTAACTCTCCCCTCCTCTTAATAATAGTGTTAATGAAATCTGCATTTCAAGAATACTTATACCCTTCTGTCAAAATTTGGATACTGGAAATCTCCAATCATTTGATATCCCTTGTAAGCATCACTACAGAATGGCGGCTCAGACATTTTGTGTTTCATTTCAACTGTAAAATTCTCATACTCCTCAATCTTCAAAGTGTTAAAAACCATGAGTAACATCGATTTGTACGCGTCGTAAAACTCCTTTTTCTCTTGATCGGAGAGAGACTTCATCCACGTTGACGAATATTTGCCATCAAACAAAAGAGCTGGTTTTGCTGTATATCTTTGAACTAGGACAGGATCCAATACAAAAGAAATGAAGGCGTAATCTCCATTGTTCATTCCCAGTTTAGAGGCATAGTACATTGCCTCTCTCACAATTCTTTGTTCCATGGCAAGTATAATGACTGAAAAACAGAGAAAAAATTCTCAAAAGTGAACCAAACCTAAAAAAGGAAAGAATTCATAGGATCTTAGAAAGGGTCTGCTCAAAAGTCACAGGACCCTTTCTACCCTTAAAGCGACCTGAAGCGACTAACAGTCTTGCGTCTCATCCCTTGATTAGATACCAGTCCACCGCATCATTTCGTCAGATTTCACAAGACAGTTCTCGTACTCTCCTGGGTGGAGAGAGGCACTGTGAGTGTTGAGTATCTTGTCCCAAAACACAACACAATGACTCAGCCTGGGCTCGAAGCCGGACCACATGATCTGGAAACCACCGCACTAAACACCACTGAGTCCTCATTTTTAATACCAACAGTCAATTCATAATTTCATTCACCCGTTACTAGACTGATGTGGTTCCTCCAGAGTTTCATCTCATGATCTTGAAGTGGATCAAGTTACATGGGTGTGTTCTATTTCATTAGTTATACTCTTCGCAGCTGCCCATTTCATGGTATTTTATTGAGTGATTTAAACGCTTCAAAAACGTCTGCGCAGTTTTGGCATGCACGCGCCTCGCTCTTCGCGTTCTGACCCAAACCTGTTTTAACAAATTTGAGCTAGCGTAAGCGAATTGAAAGATTTTACACTTACTTCTGGCTTTGTTTTTGCTTTGGCTTAAAACTTCTTTGAATTGTTCGCCATGTTCTTTTGCTCTATACGAACGATAATAAGGTACTCTACTGTGCATCGTGACTGTTTTTCCAACGGAATCCAAAAAAGACTCTAAGAAATCTGCCCTTCGTTTCCAGTCGTGCTCCTCCTCGCTGATTATTCCGACCAGGTTCCAGTTAAAATAGTTCATAATCGCCGACACCGACGGACCAATGCTATTGTCGCCGAAAATGGTTCGTGCGAAGGTCGGATAAAGCTGTTTATCGGAAACTGCGTTTGATGTGCACAGCTTGAACAGGAAGATAAAAAACGATAAAGTTTAGGCTACTAGTTTCAGTTTTTTCCGATTTTGTAGATAGCCTTTGATCTGAAAATTAAGTTCCCGCTGTCAAAATTCCGCGGCGAAAAAAAAAGGCTGAAAACTTCACTACTCAGAGTCAAAAGAAAAAATCTTTACGCAGGCCATATGTCAAATCGTACTCCTTGAGAACTTACTACTGAAAATATCCATATACGAATCAATTACCACGTATTTCCCTAAGTTGGTGCGTTTTTCTCTGCATTTACGTTATAAAGATAATTGCTAAAAATATTAACCTGCAAAAAAATTCTGTCGTGTCAAACCGCAAAAGTTTGCACCCGCTAAAAATTTACCAATGCTAAATAAACCTCTCGCAAAATTTTCCACGCAACGCGGTAGTTTCTGATTTATGTTTACAACGTAAGCACATAACGCACTTTAAAACATACAGTAAAATGGAATTAAGGTGAATGATACTTAAACAAATTAAACAAATAAAAAAATAATCCGCGACTGAAGTAGGATTTCTAAGCAAATAAGGCAGGTAACTTACTCCTTTCAAAAAATTGATCATGAATTCAGGAATAAGTGTTGAGTTTCAATTTACCGCTGCACTATCCTTATATTCTTTGATTTCGCAAATATATGGGTCTGAAAATTTCTAAAAAATAAATTCGTTGTTTACCAAAGCAGGAATAGAAAGGAATAAATACTTACATGCGAGATAACAGGCAAATTTAACGCCGCCGCCATTCTTGCTTGCGTGTGACAATCGCAACCGAATCCAATGAAAGCGTCCACTTTCCTCTCGAATTGACTGATAAGTGCATTTATTGACTTCTCTTCCGAGCATTCTGAGTCATCCCATACGAATCTGAGGCGAATTCCAGGCAGAAGGTTGGAATCTTTATTGATGTTGTCTACAGCGATAGTGATGGCAGAAGCGTAGAATTTCCCGTCGAGGGCGCGACTGTTACCAGGTGATGCAGAGTAAGGAAGAATCAGGCCGATCGTTAAATTTCCTTCTGTAGATGGACCAGGACAGGAAGACCCAATTAGAAATTTTGAAACGAAAGAAAGCAGCAAATGTGCTTTGAAATTCAATAAACTGTTCATATTCGAAGAAGGATTTTGCAAAAACCACTTCAATTAGGTGAACAATGAAGTTATAGAGTGGGTGCGAGGTCATTACCAGCCACACAAAATTCAATTCCTATTGCACGGAATTTGATTATGACATCTCTTGCTTCGGTTTGAAAGGATTCTGCCCTCTATGTTGTAGGTAATATTTTTACTTCAAAACCATTTGAAATAAAAACACCTGTAATATTCACTTATCGTGACCGGGGGGTCTGGGGGGCGGCTTAGTAAAAGCGAAATTCGTGCTGATATACAATTATCACCAGGCCGGAACATTATGACTTTGAATAAAGGAGCTATCCTGTGAAAACATCGGGTAATTTTTTTTCACAGCGGTAATGATTACCATTACGTGAACAAAGTTGATCATTACCAGTAGAAGTAACGAATACGAATTTGGGGCATATTAAAATACTTTTCATGCTAGTCGCGGAAAAAGCTAAAATTATTCCATAAATGGCAAGGCTTTCTTTATCTTCAGCTGAATATCTCCCTCGGGAGATAATTTCTTGAGAGGGCAAAACGCTTCATTGTCATTGAAACTGAGAGATGCCATGTTGATTAAGTAATATAATATAGAATCTGTTGTGAAGTTTCAAGTTTTGCAAATTGAATTTTTCCGAAACAATATGCAATCAACAGAATTGTAGTTACGCGCGATTATAATCTAAAACGGTATTTTACCCGCGACTAAATTTAATCAGTGATTCTGTAGACCCTCTGCATGATTTCCAAATTTTTTTAAAATTGCAAACGATAGATACCATAATGATATGCAATATTATTTTTAGAATTCATCATTTCAAAATTAAGCTGCAAACAATACTGAACTAGACATGAACTACGTATCGACTTCAAACCAAAAACATAAAATAACGAAATGTACTGATGAATTAAATCTCATTTAAATTGGGCACCAAAACAGATCTCGACGGAGCATAAATAATCTGACTGTAAAAAGAATAACCGAAAACGAATAAAACACTATTAAGGCCTGAAAATGAAATTAAGCAAATTAAGATTTTCATAAAGCAAGCAAATAAAAACACGTTTTAATGTTAAAATTTATAAGCACCTATGTTGCTTAAACAATCCAAAAAAAACCTGTAAATGATGTAGAAAGGAATTTATTTAACCAATTATCAAGACAGAAACTTTTGTTAAAGCCTATATTTACAATTCGAATTATCTGGGTCCAGTTTTTCAAAGGGTGGATAACGCTATCCAACGGGTAAACCGCTACTCTGACGATAAAAAGTGACAAAACGTAATGCGCTGATCACTGGAAGGAGATTTATCCAGTGGATAGCGTTATCCACCTTCGAACAACCGTGGAGTTGACTGAGCAGGTTGTCAAGCCCATGGGGCCGATTGATTCCCGAAACATTTGGGGATAAAAGCCGTCGGACGTCGGCCCAAGGCGCTAAAAGTATCGGCGATGCAGAGGTTTCGACGGATATTTAGATGAATGGATGGTTAGATAGGGGGAGGAAAGGATGGAAGAAATTGTAGATATGAGCGAGATAAACATTGCGAAAAGCAACAAACACATAGAGAAGGACGACTCACAAACAGAAAACAGACTGACAGCCTGTCACTCAGATGACTCGCAGGAAGGGGGCACTAATGTATGGCTGAACACTTCTTAATCACATTAAAAGAAAAATCAACTTTTAGAGTACAAAGTTTGAAAGTGTTATGCTGAAATTAATCAAACCAGAACTGTTTCAATAGGTCATTTCCGAGATCTAAACAACCTCATCTTTAAGTTGAGGCAGACTGTTCAACCTCAAACTGAGGAACATCGCTCTTATCCACGTTTTAAGAGAGAGTTTTTGGTTGTTTTGGAAACGGCTTATGAACAACTGTAAGCCTTACCGTTATAGCACCTAGCGTCACATGACCTGCATTGCAGTACATCAGAGGAAGGGGCGGAACTATTATTTGGCCAAATAATCGAGTCATTGCTCAAGAGAAGCTTGTACTTTCCTGTCTTGTCAACAACAAACTCTCCAACCTGCTGAAACATTCCTGAACAAAAAAAAAACGCTTAGATAAGTATTCAATAAATATTTTGATATTCTTTTCTTCTTTAATGCTGTATTGAACGGGGGCTGTTCTGTAGGAAAAATACAAGTAAAAGGAAGGGATGTTGTGGTTGATCATTTCAGTTTCAGTGAGGTCGATATAACCTATTTCTGACTCTCACGCCAAAGGGCAAACGGTAAATATTTCACTTTTTGATGTCTGGTTTCTGTCGTTTGTGTGCCAAAATGAAATATTTTCATAACCTGTGTAGATTACATTATTCATTCCCTTTCTCTATTGTGTTTACTAACATGCTTAAACTCACAATCAACATAACATCTGGTGCCTTTTGCCCGTTTCGTTAAGATTGTTTGACGGAAAATTTAGCGGTATAAAAACTTCCTCAGTAATCTCAGGATGACCCTTTTCATCATGTTTAGAGTAAAAAGGAGGTTAACAAACTAGACAGCGAGTGATCAAGGAGTGATGTCTCCCAAAACTGACCATTCCCACCCACCCGGGATATGAATCGTAATTCCTTTCCGTCTGATCTCCCCATAAAAGTTAGGCAATCTCTTCTGATGCTTACCATTATTGTTTTCTCGATAATCCATTAGCACCGTGCTAAAATCTGCATCGCCGTTTTTGTTGATATATCGGTCATAGCCAAGAATACCTCGAAGATATAAAAATGATTTGAAGGTTAATCAATATTTAGTTTATGCATGAATGATTGAAAATTAAAGATTTCCACCGAGAGACAGAGATAACATATGATTATCTTTCCTCGAAAAGGGGAAAGAAAAAGAAGATTGGTTCACATGGAACCTCGGAAGACCAAGAAATAATTTGACCTCCGAACTCCAATGAGTGACCAAGACAGATTTTCTCCTCAAAATATCAATGCAATATCATACAGACATGCAAGTGATGAGAACAAAGAAGTAATCAATTAGGGGATTATCTGTTGATCCAAAACCAAATTATCCGAACTAAAATCATAAGCATTGTGATGAGAATAAAGTAAAATATCAAGTGGGGGATTATTAATTGATCTAATACCAAATTCTCCACACTAACATCACAAGAATTGTATGGCAGACAGTAAGGAGAATTACTAATGAGATCTTAGGAGTTAAAGGGTTAATACTCTGTTGACAACGGCTAGTCCCCCTGGCGATGAAAAATGATTGGTCCCTCATGATTACTTATTAAGCATCCTAGCTTAAGGAACACTTATCGCACAGCTACAATACGTCTCTTCAGTTTCATGTTTATGTCAAACTCTCTTTGTTCTTTAAGATGTTTCCCTGGTGTACTTACTTCCAAATTGTTGTCCAAGCATCTCCTTTATAATTTTCTGGCCATCTGAAATTTTTCCTCCATTGGTTAAAGTTTTATTCAAGGCAACGGCGTACTGAAAAACCGCGTCATACAGGTAGGCTGCATGTATAGGAGGCTGTAAATGAAGTTAAAAGGATGTTGAAAGAAATTTTCGTGAAAGGACGGTCTAGTGTTATCAGAAAACGAGGTATAGTATTACATTGCAATTATGATTTATTTAGAAAGTCGACGCATGTTATCCGATAGTTATAAGACTGTGGCTCCCAGATAAACTGCCTCGACGGTAATTGGCCACTAAGCTCGTAACTAACCTGTAAGAGAAATACTTGTAACAGATGTAGCTGTTCTGTAGATTAATTTATATGTTCTGTCTATTGCCAATTGGTTATGGTTGTTTTGTAAAAGTAAATATGGCTGTAAGTGTATAACTGAGCTAATACTAAAGCAATCCTGAAATCATAGTAATCCTGATCGCCTGGAATCATAACTTGATTAAGTGGATGAGTAAACGAGCGAGAAAGTAAATAACACAATTCAACATCCTACACTCACCATGTTCCCTGAAGACGCAGGGCTGTCAAATGGGAATCCTGAACTTCTATTTTTCACATCGTCTACGAAGGCCAAGTATCCCTTGCTTACGTTGTTGTTCAAAGAAATTAACAGAGCTGATTCAAAGACTGTCCCAGTTGTGTTTTTTGAATCACTTTCCCATGATTTGGACAAATTACCCGTCTTCTTCCCAGTAAGGTCTAAATCCAGTTCAAACATGATGAATGCAAAGCGACCGTCATTTAAATCAATTTTTCCGGCGTAATTCAGAGCCTGGTGGGCATAGGCGTAATCCATAGCTAAAATGATGACTGTGGAGCAAAAAAGGACGTGATTATAAGCTAACAGTTAGTTAATAAATTTAAGTCAAAGAACCTTTTATTGCGGGAGCTTATTAGGGTTGGCTCAAGAGGAAGTTTATAAAGTTTCATGCGAATATTTGTTTGCTAAATGGTCTAGAGGAGGTCAAAATATTTCAATAACAACGGCACTTTTCTTCCTATCAGTACAAGTAAAGCTTACTTCGAGACTGTTTCGCCACTTTCTCAAGAAGTCCTTCAAATTCGGGTAACAAACTGGAGACGTTAAAATGGACACCCATCGTCAGGGTCCGAGTGATGCCCACTGCCAAGCCCCCGTTTCTCAGGTCGCTCTCCAACGCTTTCCAATGAGACCATCGGTGATTGGTTTGAGCGATTATTCCAACGCGAGTCCATCTAAAATGCTTCATTAGTGCGAGTAGAAGCGGAGAAAGTCTGCTAATTGGCGGAACTGTCCGAGCGAATGTTGGAAAAAGTACTTTATCAGAGAGATTTTCGTCAATGCACATCTGTTAAGAAGAAAAAACGGTACAAATGTTTAAAAAATTAAAATACAGCAAATGAATTATTCTCCTGGTTGAGTTCGTTTTTCGGTATACGCGCGTTGGATACAAAATCGGTCCGGGTTCAGTTCGAATTTTGACAAGCATTGCTTATGCGTTGTGCTCCAACTTCGGTTCCTCTTTCCATTCAGCAGTATTAAATAAATAGCAGCAAATTGTTAGGGAGACCTATAGGATGCTAGAAGGGGAGGGAGAGGGAGAGGGGGGGGGAGGGCGGTAGCCTTCGATGAACTAGCACCCCATCCCAATGGAGTTGCACTAGACCGAGTCGCTATATGCAATCGAAACATGGATAACCTCCGGGAGTGTAGGACATTATGCGCATGCGTTGTAAAGAACGCCAATGTCTCCAAAGTTTTACTGTTTTGCAGCAAATTTCCTTTCACCGGAACGGTTGGTCTGAATTGATTGGTTATTTTCCTGAGCCGGTGCAAACAGACCCATGAGCGACAGCTGCTGTGGAAGAGACTATAATAGCTGCCACTGAATAGTCACCTGCAGGAGTTTATCGCGTATTAAGTAACATGAAGACACCACTGGGAACAGCGTTCCAGCTCTTAGATCAAAATGTTTAGAGATGTTTACCTATCTAATCTTCGCTAATATAATTCAGTTTTCAAATTTCCGCTTAAACTAAGCTAAATCTAATCTAAACGTTCTGTAATTGGCATTTCAACTCAAGCTGTGTAATTTCCCGTTCATGCTGTTATTTCAAACATAATTCTCTTCTTCGCAAACGTTGCCTGTTCGTTACATTCCAAATCCATTAACTCACAAACGTTTTTAGTGAATGTAATTTATGATCTCAATTAGGTCCTACGTGACTTTCTAAGGTCATCCATTAGAGACAATAAAGCGATCATAAACCCTAAGACTTCGCCGTCGCCGTGTTTAAACGAAAGGATTAGCGGCACCATGTTCATGTTTAAACTTTGAGGAACTGAATAGCACCGCTCATTATAATTCAATATAAGGCTCACACTCAGTCCTAACTTCAACTGAAACACGCCTTATAACCCGCCACTACACTTTCACGAAATCCAGCACACTGTAAACAAACAAGGTAATGGGTTTTAGTCGAGTATAAGAATATCTCCCGTGCATATGGCGTTCAACATTGGCTCGTCAACTTGCTTCGAAACACACAATTTGATTGATCCAGAAGTACACTGTCAATTATTCGCGAAAGATATTGACAACATTTGACTAAGAATGCACAAGCGGAAAATTGAAAACAAAAAAAAAGGAAATTATGAGAGAGATCACTAATGGGCTCGACACCCTTAAGGTTTTCTCAAGATAGCAATCTCAGCGTGGGCCGTCTCTAAAATCAATTCTCTAATAAAAATTTCATTCACGCAAAGTCGAATCATCGGCTAAAAGGTTGTGACACAATCAAAAATGCGATTCAAGGTCTTTTTTCCAAGGGTGGTCTTCTCGAGGATTCTCGTCTTAGATCATATTCACCTCTGTTATCAAATAGAAATATCTTGAATTTTTTTTTGGTTTGCGAATATGATATGGACAATGGGGTTATTTCCATAAGTTGCGGTCTTTAAGACGGAAAATATACCATCGAACGCTAAAAATCCTTAATCAGAGACTTAGCTGTGAAAAAGAATTTACGATATAATTTAAAAGTAAGAATGTTCAAAATTTAATTCAAGCAAAATATGTCTGTTGGTTTGTTTTTCCTTTTCTTTGGAAAAATAGTGGAAAAAAAATTGGAGCGACCTGTCGTTATTTATCTCGATGACTATGAAATTCAACTCTTACTTCCTCTTTAGGTTTACCATTGCTAGTTTACTGAGATGCTTAGCACCGCCATCAAACATCAATCAACCTTCTGTTTTGAAAGAGATCCTTAGTTATTGCCCAGTAAAGACAAATATATTTGTCAATCACTGGGCGATTAAGAGATCATAAAATTGTGGAAAATGTTTACTTTCCAATGAACTTTTCATTCAAAATTTAAAATTCGAGAATATAATTATTCCTTCAACAATCATGAATGTAAAATTAACGCGCAATATTTTCATAGAAGGTCTTTTTCCATGATGTTATAACAACAATAAACCGGTCAATATCGGCCATTCATTAGCAAACAGCGGGAAAATAAACGGGAAATGAAGGGCATTATCTTCGAACTCTTTACCAAACTGGAGAGGAAAAAGACAAAAACAAAACAAAAAGCAGTTTGATAATAATGCCCTTTCGTTGATAACACTGTCCATAACTACACCAAAATCTTTACAGAAACCCACAGAAATTTATCATATTGATCGTAACGCTTGTAAAATTGTGCAGGTTTATGAAAATCTTTACAAGGGCTGCTTTAAAAATACGGAGTGAAATTTCTGGACATGAAAAGTAAATTCATATCAGTCAGCAAAGCCTTTTGTTCTTTTGTGTAGACCTGTTTTTAAATATATTCATAAACGTCGGAAAACGATTTCGGCAAAGTATGAACAACAAACGTATTCAAAATTCCGAGTTCTTTACTAATATTATACCAAATAACCGGATGTGTCAAAATTTTTAAAACAAGAATTGTCGGAGATGAATCATTACCGCCGAAAAATGCCAACTGTTTCGGACTTTCCAACCGAGAGTGCAGACAGTACGCAATTTGTAAACTTAACGTCAATTTCGTTGAACACCTCTCCTAGCAAATGAAATATAAAATTTCTTTCAGTGTGGCCTGACTGTCATTTGCACGCAAAATGAATGCGATGCCACCGCTTTGGAAAAGATATTTGATATACAGTACACATTACGTGAGGTTCAGTCGTCTCACGTGCAGTTTGACACTCAAACTTTAAAAAAAATTATTTCATATAATTACAGAAACTATTTAATTCGACTTTGCGCAGTTTGCTGTCATTAGATGGAAAGTTTAATTTGTAAAATAAATGGCTACTACTCCTAAAAAAGGAAATATCTCTTAAACTAGAGCGGGTTCTAGCTGAGAATGAAACTAAAGAAAATTGATAATTTGAAAGACATTCGCAATTATTATGTCTGACATTTTTGTGAGTATCAAGCCGCTAGATGAATACTAGGCAATTTTCCCTCTGAAGTTGCAATGAGGCACAAAAAGGTGATCGGAATCAATCTGTCATCAACGCGTCCATCTGTGAAACTGTTAGAAAATCTTTATACTTCTGATAGTTGTATCTCGATGATCAGAAACTGGTTTTGAAATTTTCAGTTTAGGTTATTCAGTTATTCTTTGGGGTTTTTTTTATATATATATTTTATTGGTTTGAATCAGTGTTCCGGTCTCCATAGGTAATAACATGATCCAGTCTATAGCAGCCGACCTAGTTCACAATACCATTCCTTTCAATCAAAAACTGCTCCGGAAATATTACAGCTTAGTGATATTTATGGCTCTTTTCCCTTGACCCGTTTCAAGCCGTTTCTGAGTAATAACTCAAAAATAATCTTAGCAGTCAATCTATTTCTTTGCAATGTGTTTTCAAAAATAATTCACCTTTTCTCTTTCAGCCAAACATAGCATTCTGTTTCACCTTTTCGCGGTATAGAATTACTCAAACTGCTTTTACGAGAGGCTTTTTATTCAAATAACAATTTGAAAAAAACGAAGAGTTTGTGTTCGGTAGCACAAGGAAAAAACGTTCAAATGATCAATATTTTCATCTAAAATTGATAGATAAAGCCTAATTTTAAACATGGCTCTTAAAAAAAATTTATTCAGGCGAGAATGGATTACTCATTTCTGTCACTCTCTCTTCGGCAAGCAGTCGATGAGAGTGTCAGAATACTGTTTTTAATATAGATAAGAGATATTTTGACGTGCCAACAAGTATAATAGTGTGAACAGATAGGCACGTAGCACAAATATCAAAAGTGACCTACACTGAAAATGTTGTTCTTCAGATATGCGGACAGTTCAATTTCTGGTTTCTTGACAAAATTTCAATTAAATATATTCCGAGTCATCGAAATATTACCGAAGTGTATTTTTGCGAAGTAGTTAAAATTTGCATGCCAGTTTAGTGTGAATTTCAAACATTGAGTCGAAACGTGAAAAAAGCGAAATAAAGCACATCAATACAAAATGGTATTATCTATTAATTGCTGCACAGGAAGGAAGGCAGCAGTAGATCGCGGTTTTTCGGCGGTTAATGTTTCGCTAAACGGTTTCCAAATCGCGACGAATTTTCGGGTAAATAATGATGATAATGAAAAAGATTTACCTACAAAATGTATGCATTTAAACCTACTGACAAAGCAATGTTTGTAAGCTTTGTTATTGCAACGTTTCATTAATACCATTTCAAGGTTCTAGTCCTCTAATTTCTCTTAACAGTCCAGATCAAACTTTTCTTAAATCAGAAAGCCGTCATGCCGTCAAGAAAATGCAAATGTAAGACAAAGTTTGCAAACCCTAAACAATTTAGTCACAGTTCTTGCCAAATTCTAAGCTCACCTTTTGTTTACACAAATCTACACGACAAAAACCAACCTCCGTGTCTCATTTGGCGTACACTATTTACTGCTACCAACGCCTTGACAAAGGCACAATAAGTTCTATGAAAATGGATGAAAATTCCAAGTTTGATCAGCGTTTGTTGTAAACGGACAGACCGCCCAAAAGCTTTCCTCAAAACAAAGAATTTCTCAGAGCATGAAATGTACACAATTCATGAGTATGTTTGTCCGTATTCTGTGCGACCTTGCGGTCAATAACAATATTCCCAAAAGACCACTTTTCCTATTAAATACAACGGCTCCGTTACAACCCCCTTAGGGGTCTATTCCGGTCAAGAACACAGAAGTAATCCTGTATGTTATTGCGAAAAACAAAAACTTGATTATTTCATTGTGAGAGGATTCACAGCCCTCAAGAAGGTGAAGAATACTTCATTGTTAAGAAGCTGCTGTGTTAAGATTGTCCCAAATAAAAAGTATATCCCGCGGTCAACTCTGACACTTGAGATCGTGAATCATCCGGATATCATGAACGAAAGGTACTCGTTGGGGTTAAATTTTGCCTCACAATTCTTGCCAATAAAATTGATCATATCGACATATGGAGCTTATTCGCAAAGTTGCTGGGTGACAGCCGCTGTTTGTAGCCGAGATTGAGTATCAACTATGTTAGCAACATCAAGCTAAGTAACTATATTTCATCAGTGTCTGTTGTACTTACGTACGAAACCATAGGAACATTCGCGGCTGCTGCTAACTTCGCCTCTGTCGCACAGGTACATCCAGGTCCTATGATAACCTGAACACCTCTCTCCAACTGATAGAGCATGGTCTTGATTGAAATATCATCGTTGCACTGAGTATCGTTCAAAACAAAGGTTACTCGATTCCCGGGTAGCAATGATGAATCATTGACTGCTTCCACAGCCAGCAGAAACGCAGAAGCGAAGTCTTTTGCTGATGTAAGCGCCACCGCGGCAGAATTATTCGTCGGAACATTAAATGGCAGTAAAAACCCCAGAGTGATTTTACCGGTTTCTGATCTTGTAGTTAGTAAGGACAAAATAAACAAAGCCTGAAGCCATAGGTTGTTGTAGTTGCTATACCGTTCTTTCAATGCTCTGAATGGCATCTTCCCGCCCCGCACTGGGCTTTCTTTTGCTACCTCAAAGAGTCTAACTCGGGGCACCTCACGACGTCCATATCTGCGTCATCAATGTATTCTGAAAACAAAGTCGCAACAATACTAGGTAATCAACTCCACACCATTTTAGCGCGTGAATGAATAATTTATAAATAATGTAATCCCTGCAAATGCAATTCATTTGGTAAGTAAACGGTGTCCAAGGCGACCAATAGGAGGACCTCTTTGGAGATTCCGTTCAAGTGAAGTATCAAACTTCAAGTTGATCTTTCCATTGTCTTGTTCGCTGTCCATTATGTTCAAAAAACCAAAGAAGAGCAAAGCGTTTTGACGTCGATTAAGAACGTTTTCAAACATCTGGGCTTATTAAATAGATCGAATGTCACTTGTTGGCGAAAATGAGCCGGAAAGGCCAGAGGACTGTGGAATGGACTTCTAGCTTTCGCAAAAGGATTTTTCCCTCGTCCCACAACTGCATCATCGTCATTGGATGATTTTAAACTCGCTTTTGAGAACACAAGAGACAAGAACTACCTCTCATTTTGATTATATTTCTTATATTCCTTAACTAAAAGCAACAGATATATTCGTAGAATAATATTGTAGAATGATATGAATCACCGGAGCATATTAATGTCTAATTAATCACATTAAAGCTTAAAAAAGGAAAGACATTAATCGCTAAGTTTCCTACTCTCGCTAATATATCAAAAAGTAAAAAAAAAAAAAAAAAAAAATATATATATATATATATATATAGGAAGTCTGTGTTTCGATTTTCCGCAGTACAGTGCTCAATACGTAGAAATAGAGCGCGATATATATTGATATTTATAAATATTGATATTTATAAAATTCCCTGATGAGTGAGTGATCACGAAACAGGCTTGTAGGGATGAAAGTATAGTCTCTTTGTTTTTTCCTTATCTCAATATATACATATAAATATATATACATATACATGCATATTCACCCATTTTCGAAAAAGTCGCAACTCAAAAACATATATAAAATGTATATATCTTTTCCTTTATCGTCAAAAATTGTGTTCATATATATATATATATATATATATATATATATATATATATATATATATATATATTGTGCGCAAATATATTTTTACGCTCTCAGCATCCTGATGAATTTAGATGTTAAACTTGAAATTTGAAGCGATCCACGAAATCTTGGTAAAGTAAAGATTATTTGTCTTTCTTTATTCAGTTCAATTTTCACTCAATCTGCTTTAGAAAACCAGATGTTTGCGAGAGTCTTGGAGCAGACTATTAGCCATCCCAGCTACTTCATTGTCCACAGTCAGTATAATAAACAAGGTTTTAGAGTTTCTAATCTGGGGCATGATGAAATAACTTGCATTCGGTCGTGCGCGTGGTTAGCCTTGGATGGACCTCTGTCGCACTTTGTAATAATCTACCCACTTTGTTATAACACTTGTTGCACTTTTGTAATGAAAAAGCATTCGCTCTTTGTGATAAACATGGTATAGATCGTCGGAAGGTAAGAAGACTCAATAACAACCAACATGTTCAACGTTTCAAGGGGGTAAGTTTCTACAGAAACTGTGGTGCTGCGTCGGTGGGAGAGTATAACAGGGTAATTTAGTATTATCAACCGAGTAACGTAATTTGGCCACCGTTTAGAGTTTTAAAGCTAACGTTTCGAGCGTTAGCCCTTCGTCAGAGAAAAGATAATTTGGTATCACCAACTGAGTCGATAACGTAAACTGGCCGCGTTTCGAGCGGTAGCCCTTCGTCATTCACGCTGACGGAGGGGTAACGCTCGAAACGTTAGCTTTGAAACTCGTTAAGGTGGCCTAGTTACGTATCAACTCAGTTGAAAATACTAAATTACATTGTCCAATGTTTCGTTGACGTCTATCCCTTCCAGTCCCGTTTCAAGACCAGCTCAAAGCGGACGATCACATTGCATGATAGACTGTCACTCCCGGTTCAAACCATTTATTGAATGATTCACAGGAGAAATGATCAAGTTTGCAGTTTTACAGTATTTCCTAGAGTTCAGCCTTACAAGAAGGGAAAAATTCACGAGATGTTAGCCCTAAAAGTATTTCTCTATCATGAAGAGAAATAAAAAACCAACTTTGAGTCTTAATGGACTAGCACCGACCGCCTTTCAAACAACCCGTATACTAGTACATCGGAGAAAAGCAAATGCTGTGTCGGCAGTCCATTCCATTCCTGATTTTATAACACTGTTATGCTTGAGGTAAACGTTGCATTGGGTGTTTTTCAATGACGTCACCCTGACATGTGTAACAAGAATAATTGAAAGCTGCCACCAAGAAGTTCAACTGTCACTTAAAAACGTGCTTTTAAGTGCCTATCAAAAATCTTGGACTGCTTCTAAGCCCTAGCGGACTCGATGGAACCTCTTAGGGGCCTCGACGGTGAGTTTTATTTACGAGACAAGTTCCTGTCACGTTACGTTTTTATCCTTCTGTTGAACATATTTGAGCCTCAGGCCTCTCTTTATGTGAAAGCGCTAAATCTAGATCGTTTGGATTAACGACCAGAAAAACAGCTAAATAACCTTTTCACCTGAGCAAAAACAGTAAATATGGTGGAATTAATAGACTAAAAGTAGACCGGAACAAGTGCGGCATCTTCTGATTACACGTAGGAGGTTTATGAACGGAAATATTTCACGTTTGTTCTTCTCATATGTTTGTTGCTGTCCAAAATAAAATATCACAGTCTGCACAATCTATATCGCCACTCTTCTGAATTTAACGTTTAGATTGCAAAACCACGGTATTGGAAGCACATGATTATCACATGATGAACTGCTAACACAAGTATGATCAAGTATGCATGATCTGTCGAGAAAATTAGAGTCTCTCTGTACGCAAGAACTTGAATCGTGCGACTGTATAAAGTGCACCTTTAAGTGATTGTAAGGATACTCCCCTATTTCGTCGTATTGGGTATAATTAAAGCAAGCACTACCTTTTACAAAATTCTATGGATTCACAAACAAGGATCCTTGAAAAGTACAAAAATGGAAGACGGCAGGAACCCATGATGAAAATTTCTGGTCATTAAGCCTGGTTTTCGTACCAAGTATTTCCTCCAGTGCCGGAGAGCTGCTGAATTTAACTGATATTAGTTTTCAGAGATGAGATCATCATTTAATGAGTTTTAGCGTCGCCATTAGGTCAAATTTTGAGGACTTTTTGGCGCGATCGAAACTAGTCTAGTGACCTTTGGCAATTTTGCTGAGACAACCAACTAAAATTTAGAGCATTTGATTTTGTGAAATTTTTTCAGGTCTTAAATCATTTTATTTTCAAAAATAATTTTTATTGCCTATGGGTAACCAAAGGCAATAAAACGTTTTCAAAACCGTAAGCATGAATAATTAGTGCTCATAAGACAGTGTGAAAGAAATGGCAAAACTTTGCCGCGAAAAGACGATCAAACAATTTGCGAAAACCTTCAGTACAGGAAAATTCAGGCATTGAAAACTTTACAAACCAGCTAAAGGATCAAACTGGAAAAATCTAAGTTGCTCACCTGCGCTGAAATCCACCCACTAGAAATTATACTTTTTCTCGTTACACAGTCGTCTTTATTTCTTCGCCCAGACTTCATGTCTGACGAGCAGGAAACTAGATAAGGTCTATAATTCACAGAAACAATAACCTTTTTTTGTGATATTCTGGGGAAATAAAAACAAGTCGCCGAACTAGGGGAAATTAGCAATATGTTAATCGAGCAACCCGATATGTTTGATAATAAAACTTTAAGTTAGAGCAGTGGATCAAGGTATATCTTGAAAGCTTTCTTAGTTGTTCAATAATTTTCTGCATGAATAAATAATTTCTGAAGTTTACATGTAGAGCGGTGTTGTTTTAGTTATCGAAATCAGCTTTGACAACTAACTTGTTTAAAAGACATGGAATAATCTTGCAATATTTTTTTGATATAAAGTCATTACTGTTGATTCGTGCGTACCTCGACCAACGAGGTATTCGTGCATCTGCTAAGAAGAGTGGGAATGAATCAGCTCACTCCTCTCTGAGTTCAATGCTCGATTTCCATGCTGTCTATTAACTCAGCATTACTTGTTTGTGCTTTTTTTTTTTAAGTATAAACAAGAAAGCGATGAATGCACGGAGAAAAAACTTTGTCGGAAGCATTGTCAGTACGCGAACATTCAGAACATCGTTAAAACTCGAACCAAATAACTACCACAATTTTCAGGCGGAGATAAATCAAGATGGACGATTCATCTATTCTACAATCTGTTATTCTCGTGGTCGATATAAAAGGATCTGTATCACCCAAATTTGAGGCTTTTTTTCAGCCGGCGTTAAAGGGAATAATCTTTGATTAAAGCGAATCTGGATATAATCAACTCACTGGTGATGACTACTGGTGAAACCTCTGGCAAAAACGGTCAAGTAGTTCCAAGGTCCTAAGTAATGAATAACACTGCTTGCGTACAGAGAAAACTTAACTTACGATAAAAATAAAACTCACTTGAAGACCTTCGGAGCGTGATATCAAATCACTTCAAGGTGTAGATACGTGCTGAGACATCATGATTCCCCCAGAGAGTGCACAAAGTCTGGTAAATTACGAAGAGATATATGTAGTTGCAATTTCGCAGCAGCTTAAAAATTTATAAGTATACCCCTTGCTGTGCCGGATTTGACGTCAAACATAGCCTAAGTTATGATGTTTAATTTGCGGTTCATTTAGCCTTAAGAGTAAGGCTAAATCGAAGAATAGACTCTTAACTTTGATAAATTATTGATGGAGAAAGTGCGATCCTCTGCTGACACAGATCGTGGTATGAGTAATTTGAAGAACTTTATAGAATGTAAACAATAAAGGTCGATGTGTTGTTACGGATGATCTACGTTTATAGTCACTAATTATAATTTTTAGAATTAAGCGCCATGTAGACGGACAACACTGTTAGATCAGAAGAAAGAAATCTGT